CAGGCACCACATTTACTGAAATTTCAGCAACTTCCGGGAGAGTGACCAGAACACTATTCTTACTCGATGTTCTCTCTACTCTAACGGCATTTTCCGGAGATTGCTACATGGAGAGCTGAGACTCTGGGATGATTAACTCTTCTCCATTGTAAATAAATTTCAAGTGGTCGATTTGATTATCCCATGTCGATGCTTGGCTGGCCTCTAGGGAGAAGCTGTTAGAGTCAAAGAGGAGTCCAAGGGCCTGAATCCAAGTGTAGTCCCTGGTTCTGCCTTCAGGGCGAAGACCAATGAACCGAGCGTTGACTTGCAGGTTGGGGTCAGAAACTAAGCTGAAATACTCATTTTTCTTGCCGTGGAAGTAAAAGACGATGCCATCTCCACCGATGAAGCGAGGGTCCATGCATGCTGATCCGGGGCCTTCACAATTAGGCTTGCGACCTACGGTTACCAGCAACAACAAAGAAAAACCCTTGTCAGCAACAATTTTAACGTAGGTATGTAAACACATTGAAGTAGTAGGCTTACCTTTGCACTCAGCTTTGCATATAGGTGAGTCACAGTTCAGATGACATATTTTAGCCGTTTTGTCTGTCGATGAAGAGGATGGACATTCCTTCGGGCAGTATACCTGCTTGAGAAAGCACGGGCTTTTCTTGCTGTAGCAAACCTTAAGATCTGTCTTACATTGTACCAGAATAGCAGCGGATGCTAGGATTACCAAAACGATCAAAACACTTTTGCCGCCTAGGGACTCCATTGCTTCTTTTCTTTCTCCTTCAACTCACCAATGAAATGTTGATATATATAGCCAGCTTAACTTCTCCTTTTCTGGTTGATCTTGTTATATAATTACAGAATGTATCAGGTGGGAGTTTACTATTATCTTTTAGTAGTACAAAATTCCAAAGTTTAGTGATATGAACGCGGTTCCCTTCAATGCTTTGCGGAGTGTTAATCTTGGTCAATGCTTTGGGGTTGGTGATTGTGAATTAGAGAAATAGCTATTGAGATTACTAGTTTTTTTTGTTCTTTTCCCTTTTATTTTCGGATCTGGTTATATATGAATTTTTGGTGAAGTTTGCTTCAATGCAAGTCAAAAGAACGGTGCAAAGAATCTCATGTCGAAAGAGTACAATAATAACTTAATTACAATTAAAAAGTTAATAATTCATCAAGGTATGGGACCTAAATTGGTACAATATCAATCTTGATTTAAATAATGTAGTAGTGGACTCTTGACAACCCGTCACACAAGAAGTTTTTTTTAGTGAATCAATGTCAACTGGAAAAGGTCTCTCATGATAATGACACGGTTTGGTTCACAATGTACATATTTTTGCACCCGATAAAATGGCCGTGAATACTGCATTGTCTGCCTCTAGCTTATTTGTTTATTTGTTAATTGCTAGTACTTTCGGTGTACAACCATCAATGGAGTTATATATATATTCTTGCAACTTGCCCGATTGGCCAATTTCACACTAGAATATGATTTGTTCGCGAAGTCAAGCACACGACATGCATTCAACTGAATACTACTTTATATGGGTTTAAAATTAAATCAAGGGACAATTAGGCATATGCTGAACCTGGTAAACAGTTCATGCATCAAAATTAACAAACTTTTGTGTACTTAATAGGAGAATATTGTGATGTCTCCTGGTAGTTGCTAATCTATTGAGAGTACATGGGGAACAAGTCGTGACAGATTATAGAATGTTGATAAAATTCCAAGAAGCGTGTCTAGAAAAACGGAAAATTTGAACATATTAGGTCAAGGGAGCTTTAGCCTTTGGGGAGAGATTTTTCAGTGTGTCTGGAACACGGAGTGGTACATCACATGTCATTATATAAGTGGAGGGACACTTTAAAAATAAAACTTCCCTTCACTTATATAATGACCGGTGTTGTACACTATTTCATGTTTCGGGTACACTGAAAAATTTATCGCCTTTAGGTTAGTCCAAGAATAACGGTGTGTGAAAAAAAAGTGTTAGCATTAAACTTGGGTCAAGAATACCCAAAGTCAAATGAAGGAAACCTTCCCTCGGGCTATCGATCGAGCCAGTGTCAATAGTGTGTGTGCTACAATGGGATTGGATATGCAAGCGTGGTGGAATGTTACAATTCCAATGTCACACATTGAAAACCATTTTTGTAAGAGCAAGTTATGCAAATGTATTCAACTGAAACAAATTTATTCGACTTTTGTGATAGACGATGATGCGGTGAAGACCGTTTCTTAATCATTATATTGTTGAAGTTCTTGCAATGCTACATGATAGTGATGATGCTGCCGTTGCTAGTAGCTGGAAATAAAGGACAGCGACTTTCATCCAGCCTAGACGCAAGGATTTGAAAGCTCATTGTTAAATAAATGCTATGGCAACCAAATGAAAGAAGGGTTATGTGATGATTTGTGTGTCGTACGCGTAGTACACAGTCACAAGGAGGGGAGCTATTTTAGGTGCTTTGCTGTTAGCACTGACTATAAGTCTATCATTATTAAAGTGATTAAGTATCGGTTCATCCATGTTATGGACGAGGTTCTCATAAAGCTTTGTCAACAGTGTTGTGAAAGGAAAAAAAAAAAGATTTACAAGGTGTTGGGGCAACCTTTTTTGTTAAGCCCATGGTTAGTTTTAGGCCCACATAGGTGAATTCAGGATGAAGTCTGCTGCTCATCACTACAGTGCTCGCTCACGCTTGGACTAGTGACAGCTCGAGTGAAGTTGCTAGTATTCCTGACAATGTTTATGCAGCTATAATTGGATCGTCTGTATGTTTGTTATTGCAGTTGGTATATTTGAATCTCGTTTGTTTAGTGATGAAGAACATTCATATGCTTTCTTTCCATACTCCCAAGATTTGTCTACTGAATCTGCTGCTTGTTTGTTATCTGACATTGTTGTTTGCCATTGATTGTTGTCCATTTGTCCGCCGTATGTAATCATCTTGCACACTTCCTGGTTGCTGTAGATTAATTACTTGTTTGCTCGCTAGAATTGCTTGATTGGTTGTTGTTCGTGTTCTCTTTCCGCCTAACGGAATCCGCACGTATTTGCCGGTTGATTTTATCGTTGGCAAACTCATGATCACCATGAGTTTGACGAGAAGATGTTGGAAATTTTAATTACTTAGCCTGTTGGTTTAATAATTTAAGGATATTTGTATTTAGTTTTTTCTTGTAAGTTAAGGTTTTGGATTCCTTGCCTATTAGATTAGGGTTAGTTCGGTATTAATATGATAGTTGTAATTTAATTATAGTAATAAGTCTGACAAGATGTAATTTTCTCAAGTTACGTAGCATTATTAATAATTCTGTAGTATTTCTTTGTTTTTAGTTAATTAAATAAAAAAATTGACGGCATTATTGCTAAAATATTGATCACATATCAATTAGCATTTGTATTCACCATGCAAGGAATATATAACATTAAAAGGAAATGTATTCAATGATGCCATAACCACTAATATATATGTATGAAGAATACTCAAAGATGAGTAGGAACTCCTACTTAAAATTTCTCAAAATTGTTCATTGTTAATTTATAAAACTTCGTGTTTATAATCAGAACCGTTGATATTATAAATTACCCTATAAAGATCGGCATCCGCAAAAAATCAATTAAAACTAAGGTCGTTTAGTTATCAAACTGTTTAAAAACAAATGAACAGTATTAGTAAAAGCATTATGGACCGTCTATGTATTTGCTACAATAGATTGACTAAACGATCTTAGTTTTAATTTATTTTTTGCAGAGATGATCTTTACAGTTTGATTCATAGTATGAATGACTTTGATTATAAGCACAAAGCTCTGTGATTAAAACACTAAGAGTTTTGAGTAAGAGCTCATACTTATCTTTGAGTAGCCAAGTATTGTTCTATATATATATGAAATGAATTTTTCACAATATTTATAACAAATTTGAAACTTTGCGAACGATAAGATCAAGAAAATTAATACAATCAATTTTAGACAAGAAAAAATTTCGTCCCATAATACATATTTTCTTGTGAATCTAACAATATATTTTTTTCTCACCCATTACTGTTTATGTTAACTGTTTTTTTCTTTTCCAATTTTTCCATTCTCTTCAATTAACGAAGCACGAACATACAAGAAACAAAAAAAAAAAAAAAAAAACGAAAAAAAAAAAAAAAAAAGATAAACAAGGTGTAAATCCTAACCTGCACCCATATGCTGCCAAATGCCAACGACCATAATTAAGGACATCACAGAAGTCAAATAAGTCGAATATGAGTGTATATATAAACTTGGCAATATTATAACATTTGTGGTACAATCATTACAATATCATAACATTTACATGGTACAATAATTGCAGTATCTAATCTAACCCCCCGAATGTTTATGCTTGATATTAGTGAAATCAATAGTATTCACTGAGAAGTTGGACCGTTTTCATATAATATATGTAATTTAGCTTGAACTGAATGTCAACGGTTGAATTGGTAATGATCATTCTTTTTGCTAAATCAAGTCTAAGTTTGAGTCCTGCTACCAGCAATTCCTTTTGATGGGCGATCTGTAAAAACTACAAGTGCTAAGAACCTCTTTGTAAGTCTTGCTTGTGTTAATGCTCTTGCACTGAGATGGGGCAGGCTTCCCTCCTCCTAAACTTTTTGTTACCAAAAAAAAAAAAAAAAAAAGAATGCCACTCAGTATACAATGTAGTGCTATTTCTCTCCACTTATAATTTTCATTACAATATAATATTATATTCAGTTCTCTTGGACAATGAGTTGATATTGTATCACTTAGCTAAAATTCTCTGCTCTTTCGTGTAAATACATTATTGTATTAAAAATGAATAAAATTGCTCCTCAGCTCCTGAATTGTTTGGACTTATTGAATCAAATATGCCTCTCAACTCCTATAAATGAGTAATCTCACTCATTTACCTCGATCGCATTATATTTCAAATCGCTCCATATCTGAAAAATTCCGGGTTCCATCGGACAGCTTAGCCATGGTTGTCAAAACGAAACAAGATCAGATAACAGTTGGTGTTGCAGTTGAAGCCCTGTGGAAAGCTATGGCTTTGGATGCAGTTAATGTCATACCAAAGATAATGTCTAGTATAGTCCGCAGTATTGATGTGATTGAAGGAGATGGTGGCCTTGGTTCCGTTCTGCTCTTCAACCTTACCACTTGTGAGTACTCCAGTTTAATCACTTCACTTTTATATATAATTGAGTGCAAAACCACAAATACATGATCCTACAGAATTTCTTATTGATGCATCTATTCATTCCTTTTATTCGTTAATAAACAAAAAATGTTATTCACACGCTCAATTTGTTGTTTGACGCTCCGTCCATGAGTGCCCAATGAAATTGAACAGTCGCATATTGATTTTCAACTCTTTTTGGCCTTGTGGCTAAGGAAAAGTTGGCGTATGTTTTTAAATTGACACCCTGATGTTATTAATTGGAAACAAAATGTCAGATAGTGTAGAGTCCAATCGAGTACAGACGGAAAAGATTGTGGAACTTGATGAGTCTCAGTATCGATATGCTTTACAAGTCGTGAAAGGCCCGGCGCTAACACTGCGCAATTTTTCGGCATTGACATCATTTTTCCAACTGAGGAAAATCGGAGAGCAGGAGACATTGGTCGATATGAAAGTGGAATACGAGACTGACAAAGAAGAAGCTAATACCGGCGAGATTGCAATGCAGCCTGTAACTTCTTACATTCAACTTCTGGAGAAATATTTGTTAGAACCTTAATTAGAATGTTATCATTATTGTGTTTTGCCAATTAATCCCAATTAATTGTGCTAGTGGTGATCTCCTGAGAAGTCCTCATGTTACATCCTCTCCTTTTCTTTAAAAAAAATTGTGCTAGCAATAAGGTTTTAACTTTGGACAGTGGAAGTTTCTTGAATTATTGTGTTGTGCAACCTCACTGCTTCTGTTTATATAATAACTTCTTTTCACGGAATTTAAATTTAATCCTTTGATGGATATTAGGCACGGATTAAACCGTGTCCCGTATTCAGATTCCTAGTTGTGACTGGTTTATGGTGCCAGCATCCCTTAAATCAATAGTACAACTTGGCCGAGCTAACAGCTACAACTTAATCGTAAAGAAAAAGAGTAATTAGAATCTTCTATATTTTTTCAACTTGTTTAGACTAAATATTTGTTTCTTTAAAAAATTTGATTAAAATGCTTTGCTAAGTTGCTAACTCAGCATTTTCTATTTATTTAACATTAATCCATTTAAACTAGCTAACAACTAATTTCCCACAACCTACGAGTTGTAATTTGTGGCTTTATTAAAAATATTAATTTAACTAATTCCTCATTATCTAACTTTTTATTTTTGTTATTAAATTTAATTCGTCTTTTCCTTCATTAAGAAAAGTCATTAATACTTTCATAAGAAACTTTCATGAATTTGTTAAAATTTTACATATAGTTATTAAAAAAAAATATTTAAAACTTATGGTAAATTTGCCATTGGTATTCTTTTTCACTTGTAAATGAGAGATCTTAGAGCAATTCCACCCTTAAAGACTTTGCATCAGCACCCAGCTCATTTATCCACTCAAGTAAACAATAATAGACCCTAATGAACAGTAATAGGCCAAAGTATCTCCACCCCTAACAAAAAATAGCCTAGTCAATTTTATTAAAATATTATTAATTTTTATTATAAAATAATAATTTGGTTTTTTCATTTTTGACTTCTTTTCTCTGACTCCCTTACTCCCGTCTTATTCTTCTTCCCACTTTTTCCACTTTTTTCTTCTCTCTGTACACCATCTTCTTCTTCTTCTTCTTCTTCCTTTTTTTCTTCTCTCTGTACACCACGCCATCGAATCTACCCTATTATGAACATGGACACCCACCATCCTGGGCCTGCGCACACCATAAACCCCCAAAAATCAACACCTACATATTCAAAAATTCATCGAAAATATACAAAACGGAAAAAAAATTCCAGTTGCAGGAAGATCCGAGTTAATCAACCAATTGACGACGATCCGAGTTGCAAGAAAATCACAATTTGGAAGGGGGACATGGTGTTGAATATATGGATTTATCAGGGGAAGTGGGTTGATGGGGTTCCAGGGATCGGGATGGGTTCCAAGGATCGGGATGGGATTCCAGGAGTCGGATGAGGTTCCAGATGAGAGAGATTGCAGCCATGACGTTAGCAAGGCGTCAGATGAGCCGTCTCCTTCCTCTATCGATTTTAGGCCGGCCTGTGGACTGGCTTGGGCTGGGTACCAGTCTATTCCACGGGCTGGAGTGGATTGGCTGAGTCTCAGCTTGTTTTTTCCACTGGTGTCGACCTCTTTTGCTTCCGGTGGAAGTGCTCTTAGGTTCGATGCTCACCAAAGGCAAATTTGAACCACATTATTGCTAGTCTATTGTGAGGCTAAGTCCACCACCCTCCCAGTGTAAATAATATCGTCAAAAAAAAATTATGGTAAATTTGAAAATAAACGTACCAACTTTTGGTACGTTTAGATTCTAAATATACCAAAAAATAAAATGTACCAAAAATCTAAATGTACCATAAAATCAAATGTACCAATATTATAGGTAATCAAACGTACCTCTAACAAAAATGTACATAAATGTTTAATCAAATTCTTAAAAGGAACATATGTTAATCAACAAAATTGAAAAATGAGACGCCTCTATCAAAACGCCCCTAAAAATTTGTCAAGGATGATTACAGAGTATCAAAGAAATGTAGGAGGCTAGGAACCAGAGCTGTAAGACTTCGAGAAAAGTTTTTCATTTAATTTTTTATACCACTGATATTGTAAAATTTTAAGGTAATTTAAATTACGATAATAGATATTTGAACTTAGGCGCATATATATAATGGTGGAGCCAGGATTTTCAAATAATATAGTCATAATTTCGACTAAAAAGATTTTTATTGGACCATTTCGTTAAGCACCTAGTAGAAATATGTTAACTCTTGTCGACATCTACTAAATGCTTATGCCAACATATGTCAACAACTACTATAACATGTAAGGGCTTGTCAAGGGTGGCTGCAAGAAACTGTAGAGTAATGTTGAAGATTGCTAAGGCTTGTCACCTGAGGCATTTCATCGAGCATTTGGTACACATAATAGAGTCGCATGTAATAAGAGAGAAAAGGAGGGATGGACCAAAAAAATAAAAATAGAAGAAGTAAGAGGAAGTTATAATTTAGTTTGTCCTAGATATTTATCAAGTCAAATACAATACAAATATAAGAATGCTTGAAGTTGTTGGGTCATGGACAATAGACCTCATACTGCGTCTGCCACTGAATGCCTAATGAGGAGTGCATTCCATCTCGCCAATGTTGTTACATGTACACCTACATCTTGTAACTTTGAGAAAACATTTTTTATTTTTTATTTTTTACCTTTTGTTGGAAACTTTGAGAAACGCATTCCATCTCGCCAATGTTGTTACATGTACACCAACATCTTGTAACTTTGAGAAAACATTTTTTTTTTTTCCCTTTTGTTGGAATCTTTGAGCAAACTTTGAATGCTCGAGAAATGGAGGAAATTTCATCTCTTTTACTTCAAAGATACACAAAAGCATGCATACAAATTTCAAACTGAAAACACCAGGAATCAAATGCCTATTCAACCTTTCTTTATTTGTTACTTACATAACCCATAAGAGTGTGTTTATTCAACGGACTATTTTGGACTGGACTAGCTTTAGGAACTAAGTTAGACTAATTTGGCTTGAATTAAGTAATATAAAAATAGTGAAACGTATGATGCAGTGTTGGACTAAGTCACATACTATAATTTATTTTGTCTTTTACTTAAAAATAAAAAAAAAAAAAAAAAACTGAAATCTACCATCCACCGCGATCACTTTTAGCAGTATGAAGATGATTGAAAAATTCATGGCTTTCGGGCAAGTCATACCTAGGTTGTAGAGAAACTAAAAATCAATATCCCAAATGCAAATTTTGCTCCAAGACCAGGAAATTTACCAGCTCGTAAATTTGCAATATTTCCTCCATACTGGGCTGTGGCGACGAGGAAATTGACTAATCCGATTGAGATTTTAGTCTGAATTAAAAATCCAACAAGGAAATTGACTAATTCAGTGACAGGATAAGGGAGCAGCTGATGTGCGATGGAGAAGGGAAGAGTTGTTGTTGCAGATATGTAAAGGAGAAAAACCATCAATTCAAGCATGAGGGAGTGAGCGACCTTGGCTATTGGATATCAAAGCAGGTTGATCCACGTGTGTAGCCCAGCGATCACATATACTTCACACAGTGGTGAGCTAGCATGGGGTCATTGGTTGTATATTGTATTTGACCCCTATAAACAACTAAGACAAACTAAATTACAATTTCCTCCTACTTCTTCTAATTTCTTCTATCATATTTGTCTTCGTTTTCTCTCTTCTTGTGTGCAACTCTATTGTGCACATCATATGCTTGGTGACATACCTTAGTTGAAAACCTTGGCAGTCTTCAAGATTCTCCACAGTATCATGCATCCATCCTCGACAAGCCTCTACAAATAACAGTAGTCGACATATGTTGGCATAAACTTTTGGCATATGTAGACAGACAGGTGCCTACTAGGTGCTCGACAAAATGGCCCAATAAAGCTTTTTTGGTTGATATTATGACCCAATTATTTGAAAATTCTGACTACCCCACTGGCTCCACATCATCCAATTCATGTTGTCTATGTGTTTGGCTTAAAAATTAGTCATACGTGAGGGGGCGTATGAGGATATGAAGGTAAAAGAGTCATACATTGGTAAAAAGAGAAATATTGCAATGACTTATAAGATGTTGAACTGTTTTCTGTATTACCAATTGGTTTTACCTTTACCTTTTTATGAATATATTATTATAGACATCATGCCAACAGAAAGACAAAAAGATAAAAATGATGTAAATCCCGACTTGGTACAATAATTACAATATCATAACAGTTGTGGTACAATCATTACTCTATCATAACATTTGAATGGTACAATCATTACAATATCATAACATCAGCATGGTACAATAATTGCAATATCATAATCTAACCCTCCTAATGTTTATGTTTTATATTAGTCCAACCAATAGGATTCACTAAGCAGTTGGGACCATTTTCGTTCAATATCTGTAGTTTAGCTTGAACCAAATGTCATTTAGCATATTTCTTTCCAATTATAATTTTTTTACAATATCTTATTAATTTAAACTCTCATAGACGACAAGTTGATATTGTATCACTCAGCCAAAAACCTCTGCTCTTTATTGTAATACATTATTGTATATAAAAAAAAATGAATGAAAGTTGCTCCTCAGCTCTTGAATTGTTTGGACCTTTTTTTTCTGTTTTTTTTGGCAAAACAAGGGGGAATTGTTTGGACTTGTTGAATAAAAGATGCCTTTCAACTTTTATAAATAATTAATCTTACCATGTACCACGATCACATTATATTTCAAATTGCTCCATATCTGAAAATTTCCGGGTTCGATCGGAGAGCTTAGCCATGGCTGTCAAAACGAAACAAGATCAGATGACAGTTGGCGTTGCAGTTGAAGCCCTGTGGAAAGCTATGGCTTTGGATGCAGTTACTGTCATACCAAAGATAATGTCTAGTGTCCGCAGTATCGATGTGATTGAAGGAGATGGTGGCCTTGGTTCCGTTCTGCGCTTCAACCTTGCCACTTGTGAGTACTCCAGCTTAATCACTTTCACTTTTATATATAATTAAGTGCAAAACCACAAATACATGATCCTATAGAATTGCTTATTGATGCATCTATTAATTCCTTTTATTCGTTAATAACCGGAAAGTCACTCGCACGCTTAGTTTGAAATTGTCATTCGCACACTCAGTTTGTCATTTAACACTCTGTCCATGAGTACCCTAATTAAATTGAACAATCGTATATAAGTTTTCCAACTCTTTTTGGCCTTGTGGCTAAGGAAAAGTTGGCGAAGGTTTTCAAATTGACGCCCTGATGTTAATTAAAAAAAAAAATGTCAGATCGTGTAGAGTCCAATGGAGCACAGACAGAAAAGATTGTGGAACTTGATGAGTCTCATTATCGATATGCTTTACAAGTCATAAAAGGCCCGGCGCTAACACTGCGCAATTTTTCGGCATTGACCACATTTTTCCAACTGAAGAGAATCAGAGAGCAGGAGACATTGGTTGACATGAAAGTGGTATACGAGACTGAGAAAGAAGAAGTTAATAGCAGCGAGATTGCAATGCAGCCTGTAACTTCTTACGTTCAACTTCTGGAGAAATATTTGCTAGAATCTTAATTAGAATGTGTTATTTTTATTGTGTTTTGACAATTAATACCAATTAATTGTGCTAGTGGTGACCTGGGAAGTTCTCATGTTGCATCCCTTCTTTTCTTTAAAATAAAAAAACTGTGCTATCAATAAGGTTTAAGTTTTGGACGATGCAAAGTTGTAGACGGTGGCAGCTTCTTGAATTATTGTGTTGGGCAACCTCACTGCTTCTGTTTATATAATAATTTCTTTTCATTGCATTTTAATTTACCGATCCTTTGATGGATATTAGGCACGGATTAAACCGTGTCCTATATTCAAATTCCTAGTAGTGACTGGTTTATGGTGCCAGCATCCCTTAAATCAATACTACAACTTAGCTGAGCTAACAGCTACAACTTAACCGCAAAGAAAATTATCAGGGATGATTGCAGAGTGTTAGAGAAATGTAGTAGGTTAGGACCCAACAGGATCCTATCCGGATCCTTTTGATAAGGATCCTGGGGATCTGTGAATCGTGTCTATTCATCGTACATCGTGCGGTCAGTTTTTGTCAAGTATTTTTTTATGTTTATTTATAAATAAAAATATTTAAAATAATTTCTAGCCACACGATGTACGATGAATGAACACTGAGAAAAGATTTATTTTTTATTTTTTATTTACTTGTGATGCTGTAAAGTTTTAAGCTAATTTAAATTACGAGAATATATATTTAAATTCAGACGCATATAGTGGCAGAGATAGGATTTTCGAATAATGGGGTTATGATTTCGATCAAAAAGACATCACTAGACTATTTCGGCCAACATGGAAACATATGTCAACAACTACTGTGATATGTAAATGCTTGTCAACTGAGGCATTTCATTGAGCATTTGGTGCGCACAATAGAGTTGCACATAAGAAAAGAGAAAAGGAAGGCATGGATGACAAAAAAAGTAGAAAGAAATTGTAATTTATTTTACCCTAGATATTTATAGAGTCAAATGCAATACAGGTACAAATATATATAGGAGTTTTAAAGTTGTTAGAGTTGTGGACAGTGTACTCCATGCTGCCTCCACCACTGAACGAATAGTGAGGAGCACATTCGCTCCTGCCAATGCTGTTACATGTAAACCAACATCTTGTAACTTTGAGAAGAAAAAAGAAATTCTTTCTTTTGTTGAAAACTTTGACAATACTTTGAATGCTCGTCAAATGTATGAAATTATATCTCTCTTTTACTGCAAAGATGTTGGATAAATATCAACAATAAATGATAAATTTATATATGGTAATAAATGATAAATGTGAATAAATAATTTAATAGAGTATGAACAAAACAAAATAATATTAAACAGACAAACTGAATATCGAGGCTTGCGTACCGTAATGTCCTTAAAACATAATTTCGTCCCTACTTTGTGCTTGTAGTTCTATGGACGTCTGCTTCACCAGGATTCAATGATCTAAATCGAGATTCCGGCACCAAAAGACTAGACTTCTGGCGAATTTCTTTGTGGTTCTCTCAGTAAGAAGGTTTAGGATTGTAGAAGAAGAATTTGATTTTTTTGTATTCTAAATGTCATGCAGATGGATGTATATATAATTGCTTTATGTCTGTTCGCAACATGTATGAGTATGGGATACGTCTTTTGGGAGACATCTTCTCAAAGGGATGTTTTGCTCTTTGGCGTTCTTTCATCGCTTCAGACTTCATCTGAAAAGATGAGTCTGTTGATTTAAAATTAATTAATTAATTAAATTTGAAATTACTTAAAATAATTAATTAAGGAATTTAATTATCAGAGCTTGAGCTCAATTAATTAATATACCCTAAAGCCCAAAACTTAAGGTTGAGCCTAATTTTACTCTCCAAAGTCTATTAGTCCAATCATTTTTTAATAAAGACAAAGTATTATAAAGTGAGAAAATCTTTTAGTGATGATCAATATGGGACAATGTAGAAGATATTTCTACTCAAAAATTTGCCACAAAAGATACTCAAATGCATGCATACAAATTTCAAACTGACATAGTATCCCCAAAAAAAAAAAAAAAAAAAAAAATCAAACTGACCAGGAATCAAATGCCTATTCAACCTTTCTTTATCTGTTACTTACATAACCTATTAAAGAGTGTTTGTTGTACCGAATTATTTTGAACTGAACTAACTTTAGAAGCTAGGTTAATTGACTTGCCTTGGACTAAGCAGTACAAAAACAGTGGAACATTTGGTGTAGTTTCGGATTAAGTCACAAACTACTATTTATTTTGCCTTTTTTAATTTACTTAAAAAAAAATAATCTCAAACCTGCCAGCCACCATGATCTTTTCTCTCACACAAATCAGAGCCACCACGATCACTTTTAGCGGTATGAAAATAATTGAAAATTTCATGGCTTTCTAGAGCAAATCATACATGGATTGCAGAGAAACTGAAAGTCAAAATCCCAAATACAAATTTTGCTCAAAGACCAGGAAATTGACCAACTCGTAAATTTGCACGATTTCTTCCATGCTGGGAGGCAGCGACGAAGAAATTGACTAACACAGTTGAGATTTTAGTCTGAATTAAAAACTCAATGAGGAAATTGAGTAATTTGGTGACTAGATAAGGGGAGCAGCTGATGTGCGATGAAGAAGGGGAGCAGTTGCTGTTGTTGATATGTAAAGGAGGAAAATCATCAATTCAAGCAGAATGGAGTGAGGGACCTTGGATTTTGAGGTGCAGGAAGAGGGGGACAACAAGCAAGGGTCGCGCAAGTTAAAAATGGCGGGGGTTCCTTCGACGGAGCCAGTGGCTAATCTCTGGCCGGAGTAATTCCAAGAAGAGCAGGTGGTGCCTTTATCGAGCGCTAGCTGACGATTTTCCAAATCCGCAGTCACTGGAGCTTCGATCTGTGCACACGACGGTCGGAGGCGGTGAAGGTATATGGGTCTTGGGGGAGGAGGAAGATGAGGTGGAAAAGGGTAGAGAAATGGGACAAAATCAGGAATCAAACCTATCGATTATCGATTTATATTTCAGTGATCGGAGTGAGAAATCGTGTCAATCTTAAGAATTATTTTGGCTTAAAAATCTTATCTTTTAATAGATGTAACATTCACCAATACAATTACGTGAAATCTCATTTTTATTAGAAAAGTAGTACAAATACGGTATACATAATAGCAGAACCAGAAAATCTATTAAGAGGGGTCAACCGAAAATAACAAGATTTAGGCAAAACAAAATAAATTCATCAAATAGCACAAAATTCTTAGATTTGCCAAGTTGATTTTCCCTCATTGACGTTTTTAAGTGCCATATTAATGGATCTCTTCATGTAGGGGGTCGTAAATTTCACATCAATGGAAATTTATTTAAGAAATGTTAGCTTTTGTAGTTTCATTAAAGGTTGGCCATGAGAGATATCTAAATATTAATTCCTCACAGTGAGAGAATATTTAATTAATTGTAATCTTGTGAACTTTTTAGGTTGAAATTTCCGGCAATATTTTTATCAAGACCCATTATGCATTCTATCCTTCATGCTTTGTATGTTTTTCTCTTTTTCAATGAATATCGTACTTTCTTAAAAAAAAAAAAAAAAATCCTGTGAACTTAAACAATATTTTACCTTGTTTGTATTTGTTTAATAATAAAGGAAGGGAGGAGGTTTTGAAATTATTACAATAATTTAGAAAGGAAGAACTTTTGAATCCTAGATGCATGGGTAAAATCCTAACACCCTAAAACCAACACCTTGTTCATGTTATTTGTTAAGGGGAAATTTTATTTGAACCCATACAACATTTTTCTACACCCAACTTAAATTTTAAATGTGAATCATCATTTTTATCATATTGTATAATTACTATCAAGTACAAGATGAAATTAACAAATAAACTAAAATTTATCAATAAACTCACAGCCAAACTAAACCCTAACATCAAGCAATGTTTATCTATGTTCATTCCGCTAAAATCCTAAGTGCGCTTGTAGAGAAAACAAGTTTTTTGTATCCAGGTATGGTGGTTTTGAATCCTTCAACTAAGGCATGAATCGATTTATTCATTTTTTTTTTTTCGTTTGATTTCAAATTTTTTTAGAGTTGGAAAGATAGGTTTTTTCAATTCACACCTTCAACACATGAAGCTGAGAAGATGAATTTTTTGGGTTTCACTATAGATGGTGGCAAAGTCTCCCCTTGGACATGGACTGTGTTCTTGGTTGAATATCTCAACGGAGAAGAAGTGTTTCCCCAACTTGAGAACGAGGTGAGTGTTCCCGAGGCGGCACACACATTATTATGGCTATTGCAGAAAGGGCAGAAGATGGTACAGAGAACGCATCCATTTTCGTCACACCATATATACCCTTTCCAATAACACCTTCAAAAGATAACCGTCAGTTATGATTATGCCCCACCTGAGATGTATTTCCAGTGTAAGACTTTAATACTTCATTATGAAGAGATTCTAAGTAACATTTCGACGAAGAAGATATAGATGATTCTCAGCAAGTCTCGGTGGGGTTTTACAAAGTGAGCAAAAAAATTTGTAGACTCTTGTCCATTACACAACCAACCAACTGATGTGGACGAAGCCACTCAACTAGTAGTGGTGAGAATTACATGAGGAATATTGGAGGTTGGATACAGAGAGAGATTCGGAAACTTAAACTAACACACTATAAAATTGCCCTAATAATTGATTTCATTATGAGCAGTTATGTGAATTGCAGTAGGGAGCTCTGACGTGACAAGAGCCTGAGAAGGAGGATTCAAGGATTCTCAAATCACATTAGGTCACTGTACATCATGCGGTTAGAAATTATTGTAATTTTTTTTATTTAAAATTGAATATAAACAGTTCTTAATGAAAACTGACCGCACGATGTACGATGAACAATGATTTGAGGATCCCCGAGATCCTCACAAAGAGGATCCTCACTCTTTTAGAGAGAGAATGAGTAAAGGTATTTAGTAGAAACTCGAAAGCTTTCATTCTCGTAAACAAGTAGAAATTTCACCAAATTAGTAATTTGAGATTTTATTTTTTAAATGGGTGCAAAAATAAATTGACATTTTGAATTGGGTTTGTGAGGGTAATTTTGGTAGTAAATTTGGGTTTGAAGAAATATTAATTCTTTAATTAAAAATGATATGGGTGTAGAGAGTAAGTTGGGTGTAGAAAGAGGGTTATATGAGTTCAAATCAAATTTCCCTTTGTTAAGAGTAATGTTCTTTGTTAGCAACCTGGCAATGAATCTATGCTACATATTCTGACAATAATAACCTCATGGATTTAGGATCACAACATAAGCATTTGTTTATTTAGGGATCTTCCTAATTGAGTCCATCTTTTAATATCTCTGGATAGACATTCCTCAAGTAAAGAGCAACTTACAATAATACATTGCCATATGGAGAAAAACTTGCACTTGGCAATGTATTATTAGATATGTGACATAATAAACTTGTTTCATGTAAGTCCTCCCTCAAAGAATGGCCTAAGAAGGTTTTAAATTTAAGGATTAAGTTCGTATAACTACCCAACCACTAGGGTGATTTTAAATTGATCTAAACCTTTTAAAACATTACAAATAACTACTTAACGTTTTCAACCTTAAATATCTGTTAGGTTCACTAACATTAACGAAACAACTATAAGAATAGTATTATAAGGGGTTAATCATATGTTTAGTACTAATTAACGATTTATTTTAAGAAATAAATTTTGTTTATAGGTACTTATAGGAAATCAAATTTTGGTGTGCTTGTAACACCGATATGGTGGATTTTACCCTACAACAGCAAAGAAAATAAATGCGCATAAAAAGTGACTTGGATTTCAGTTGGTTAAAACTATGTTTTTTCTTTTTCTTTGTTTTTTAATTTTTTTTTTGGTTTTTTTGAACAAAGTTAATTAAAACTATTAACTTGTCTACAAGTTCAGGCCCAAACGATTCGTGAGTGGATCTCCTCTTTTGCAAGTCCAGCGTTGATCATCATTCTCTAAGCCCACCGTCCCTTTATTTCCCTCCAATCGCCCAATTCGGTTAACTCGTTTCGTATGCTCGCACCAGAAAAACCCTAACTCCTACTGGACAAACCCTTCCAAATCGTCCCGTTTCCGATTCAACTCGGTCCAACCAGGTGAGTCGCCCTTCACTTTCAATTTCCCTAAACATGTAACAAACTTCTACTGTATTTTACACCTACTGCTGAATTGAATATTGGGTACAAAATTGGGGAAATTAGGACTCGAATTTAAATTAATGGTAGCTCGTACTGTCAGTCTGAGTGATATTAACAGTGACTTTCTTGGTTGAATACCGTAGTTGGGGTTAGAAACAACATGGGATTTGAGGATATGGATTGATATATGTGAATTTTCTGTTCAATTTGTGTGTAAAGATGATCAATGTCTCAGTTCGAGAATCCGAAAACATCCTGTTAATGGGTCGTGAGGGAATTGCTTGAAATGAAATGCCAGTATGGGGTGTTGTGTTTTTTATTTGTTTTTGAGCTGATTACTTGATTTGGGTTAAGAAGTTGTTGTGGAGAGGGCACGGTCTAGGGTAATGGAGACACCGGGTTCAGATGGTTCTGTTTCTAAGCGGTCTCTGAGGAAGAAAGCAAGTTTGCGCAATTATGATGAGAATTTGATGGATGATATAATAGAGAAGCATTTAGGTGGTACTTTTAAGAAAAGGAAGGGAACAAAGGTGGATTTGGAGAAAGAGACTGAAACAGAGGCCATGATAGCACTGTCCCTCGGGTTCCCCATTGATGAGCTGCTTGAGGAGGAAAAACAAGCTGGGGTGGTCACTGAGTTGGGTGGGAAGCAGCAGAATGATTACATTGTTGTGAGAAATCATATTTTAGTACGATGGCGGAGTAATGTGCGAGTGTGGCTCTCAAAAGGGCAGATTAAAGAAACTGTGAGTGGTGACTATGAACATTTGATATCTTCAGCTTATGATTTTCTTTTGTATAATGGATACATCAATTTTGGGGTTGCACCAGCATTTATGGCTAATATGCCAGAGGAGGTAACTGAAGGGTCTGTCATCATTGTTGGTGCCGGACTTGCTGGACTAGCGGCTGCAAGGCAGCTTATGCAATTGGGTTTCAAGGTGGCTGTTTTAGAAGGTAGGAATCGACCAGGTGGAAGAGTCTACACCCAAAAGATGGGGAAGGATGGAAAGTTTTCTGCTGTGGATCTTGGCGGCAGTGTCATTACTGGCATCCATGCTAACCCACTTGGAGTTCTGGCGAGGCAACTTTCTATTCCGCTTCATAAGGTCAGAGATAAGTGTCCTTTGTACAAACCTGATGGAACACCTGTTCATAAGGACATTGACTCTAACATTGAAGTCATCTTTAATAAGTTGCTTGACAAAGTCATGGAACTCCGACAGACAATGGGTGGGTTTGGAAATGATATATCTCTGGGTTCAGTTTTGGAGAAACTGAGGCAGTTGTATTCTGTTGCTAGAAGCACTGAGGAGAAGCAACTTCTTGATTGGCATCTTGCAAATTTGGAATATGCAAATGCTGGATGTCTATCAAATCTCTCAGCCGCCTACTGGGATCAGGACGATCCTTATGAAATGGGTGGGGACCACTGTTTTCTTGCTGGAGGTAATGGGAGATTGATCAGAGCACTGTGTGAAAGAGTTCCCATATTCTATGGAAAGACTGTCAATACTATTAGGTATGGAGATGAAGGGGTTGAAGTTATTGCAGGGGACCAAGTGTTTCGAGGGGACATGGTCCTATGCACTGTTCCTCTTGGAGTTCTGAAAAAGGGTTCTATCAGATTTGAACCCGAGTTGCCCCAAAGAAAGCTCGCAGCAATTGAAAGGTTGGGATTTGGTCTGCTGAACAAAGTAGCTATGGTTTTTCCTCATGTTTTCTGGGGTGAAGAACTAGATACTTTTGGATGTCTCAATGAACATAGCCATCAACGTGGAGAGTTCTTTTTGTTCTACGGATACCATACTGTATCTGGAGGTCCAGTTCTCATTGCACTGGTGGCGGGAGAAGCTGCAGAGACATTTGAGTGCACAGAGCCATCAATATTGCTCCATCGAGTTTTAAGCGTCCTCAGAGGTATGTTTTTATGTAAATGATTGATTTGTAGTTCCCTTCTTTTCATTTTTCTGTGTCGTCATTTTTTGGGTAAGTTTGCAAGGCTTCCATCTAGATCTTCCTTTGTGTCTTATAGATTTTAGTTTTCAATTTTCATTCCTACTTCAGGTATATATACTCCTAAGGGCATTGATGTACCTAATCCAATTCAAACCATTTGTACAAGGTGGGGTGGTGATCCCCTTTCCTATGGTTCATATTCTCATGTTAGAGTACAGTCATCTGGCAGTGACTATGATTTGCTCGCAGAAACTGTGGGAAACCGGCTGTTCTTTGCAGGCGAGGCCACAACTAGGCAACATCCAGCTACCATGCATGGGGCCTTTCTGAGTGGCCTAAGAGAGGCTTCGTGCATATATCGTGCCACAAGGCGTAGTCAAAACTATTTGAGGAAAGTCATACAAAAGAATGTTGGACCAAGCAATGATATGCTGGAAGATCTATTTGAGAAGCCCGATTTGGAATTTGGGAACTTTTCATGTGTATTTGATCCTTCAACAGATGACCCAAAATCAATAGGGCTTATGAGAGTTGGTGTTGGGAGTAGGGAAGACAGTTATAAACAAGAGCTAACAAGCAGCTCCCAACATGCCTTAACCATACCATTGCAGCTGTACACATTTATATCTCGTGAACAAGCATGTGGGTTAGAACTGGTGACAGGAGGAGATGAAAGTAGGCTATCATACTTGGTGAAAGTTTTCGGCTTGAAGCTGATGGGACCTAGTGCCATAGGAACTTTAGGTAACTCCTTGGCAGTTAGCATTAGTAATGCTCGAAGAGGAAGGGGAAGGAATCGCATGTCTGCTGGACGACAGTAGGTTGCTTGCAGTTTCAAAGACTTTTGTGCATCGTTTGGAGTTTCATGTTCAGGTGCACACTTCTGTATATCATTGAGCCATTTAGGCAATTCATTAGGTTTAAGAGAAAGTGATCTCTTGGAGTCAAACTGTGAAAACTCATTTTATGCATTTCTGTAGAACATGTTTTAGTCTGACCTTGATTCAGGTAGCGGGTTGACTGAAGAGTCATCAACCATTCATGCGGGTATGAAATTTTGATTAGGTTGAAGATCTTGTACACCTTCCCATATTAATAGGGAACAGAATATCGATAGACATTGAAAGTTAATCGAATATTTTTGAATGTCAAGTTCTTTGTCTATGTTCATATTTCATCCTGAATATGCAAACTCTCTCTATTTAGCTTCCTCTTTTCTATATAGCATGTGTATTGATGCATTGATGAGCTTGTTCTTATTTCATCGGTTGTTTGAGAGGTTACAAAACCGTTGTGCGTTCTACTCAAAAGTTCGATGGCACAAACTTGTTATTGGTGGCAAATTTTAGAGGAATTTGTAGTTTATGAAGTTTTCGTGTAATTTCATGAAATGATTTTTGAGCCTGTGAGCAACTAAACTAAAACTCCTAGTTTAGTTTCCAAAGCTGAATCTGGAAATAGACAACGAATCCTTGTCTATTTTCTAATTCTAAACATGGGCGCTAGTACAAACCTGCCTTGTGGTACTCTCCCAACTTAAAGTATTGGGTTCTCTTCATCCACAATTTAACTTGCATAAGTTAAGTATCGACGTTATTCTGATTCTTGACTTTCATGTGTTTAAGCAGACATTTATATCACTTCATTAAATCTCTAATCTAATACACGAATTCATATCAATTAGGGGGGCTGGTTGATCTCAAAATCTATTCATTCATTGCATTCTATGATTCACGACTTTTTCCGATTCCAAGTAAACATGCAATAAAAGTACCAAAAACAATATGTAACATAAACGCATCAAATGAACATGGATAGTAGGAGGAGGAAGAAATAAGCCATAACCTTGTTCTGAAATCGAAGCAAAAGGAGGTAATTAAAGCTAATGCAAGGAGGGATGAGTTTAATTAGGGTTTGGCGTTGTGCATGAAATCAACACAGGTGCGGCAGTTGCAGTCCGAGTAGCGGCAATTGAGACACCCTAAACACACGCACGAAGTGCAGCCCTGGCATGCCGAAGCTCGAGGGCAACTCCTGCAGCTCTTCCGAGTTTCACGCTCTTCCTCATCACCACACTTTATTCTTTATCATGCACAATAAATAAATAAATAAGGTTTATTAAGTGATATTGCAAACCCTAATTTAATTAGCAGTACGATTAGAGTTTCCGAAAATCAAACATGTTATGATGTTAGATTTTTAATCTGCAAAAGACACAATACATTAAACTGAATGTTCACTTCATCAACGACAGGCAAACCAAGAGGTGAACCATGGAACTGTTCAAAAAGCAACTTCGATCATTCAAGCTAGTTTCTAGAAACATAACGATCATTAATGGTTTAACGACAATCAATTAAGCATGTTACGCTGTAAGAGTATGAATGCAATACCGTCCACAATACATTTGATTCAAAATTCACTTATTCAATAGAAGGGGCGAACCAAGGATTTGTTAACAAAGGGACCTTAAGCATTTCAAAACACTTTTGAAGTCGTTAACGAATTCATAATCCTCCGAGTGCATGTGAAAATATAATCTCTCCGGACACATGATCAATGGTTCAGGCTCACAAAAGCTAACATTTACTAGTATAGTGAGTCACCAAGTTTTTCTAGATAGTAAACATGAAAATAATAAAAAAGAAGTGCATAAAAAATTAAAATGGAAAATGAGGAGAGGGACTCACTTGTCATAGGGATGATCAGCACATTTCCACCTCCTATTCCTTGAGGCGTTATGGAAGGCTCTGCACTCTTCTTTAGTCCGCAGGCGAAACCTGCGTTCTTTCTTGCACTTGAAGCAGCGCAGCAGTTCATCCCTGTGAATGTTCCATCGTCGCCGAATGGTAGAACCTAACTGGCCTTCGTTTGAGGCATGTCTGTAGAATTTCATCAGCCCAGTTTTCCACAGTGGTACTTTCTGACCATCTTCGTCCATTGTAACCCAGATGTTGCTCTTCCATTTTCTGGGTCCCCCTTCTTTAGAATGCTTCTCGAATTCCTCCGGTGTCAACTTCCCCCTCTCTTGTAAGACCCCGACTGCGTTAATTGCAAATAAAGCTTACTTAGTTCTCAAGAAATAAGCCAACAATGTACTGTGTATTAAAGTTAGCTTCATGACATGCAGCTTCATCGTTCCCGTCCAGAGATAGAGAAGTGCAAACTGATCGAAAAATAATGTAGGGCTGTGTGTGTGTGTGTGTGTGTGCAACTTACAAATTAAAAATGAAGTGGGAAATGCAGATTTGAGGTTTAAAACAAGCACCTCTCCGATGGACCGATACCATATCAGGGAATTCGATAGATTAGAGTGAGTACCTTCGTTGCAAGATGGTGACAGACATTGGCAAGTAATCGAAAACTGTCCTGTGGAGGAAATTCTCAGCTTTCCAACAGAATCGCCGTACTTCTTGCTTGTACAGCCACAAACGACTTCAATATAATTTGGACCTCGCTCAAGTCCATATAAGTTCTCGACTGGTTTAATATCTTCATCCGTGAACATAATTTCTGTATTTTCATGTCTGATCTCGATACCTCTTCTTGCAGCTGCAGATGAATTTCTGGTTCTCGTTGCACCTGTGACTCAAAAAAATAAAAGCACCAGTCCGATGAAAATAATTAGAACAGATGATCTGGATCAATACGTATCGAAATTAATCAACTTAATCAATGAAACTCATTAGAAATAGCACAAAGACATGAAGTGAGAATTTTTATCGCAGGGTTTGATGTGTTTGAAACCTTCTTATGTTGTAATGAAGCCGAAATGCACTCATCAATGACACCTAAACAACCATGCAGAGGTAGAAAAACGTGGAAATGATGAGAGAGAGAGAGAGAGAAGGTGGGGTAGCTATGGTGGATACATGGTTGACAATTGATCAAAAAAATTATTCACACTATTTTCTATCCCTACGCATTCTCTATATTTCTTGACCGTAGAATTGAGTGTATAAAAATCGGTTTCCACGTTAGAAGTGCGAGGTTTTTCTAAAAATGGAACGCTTTTGTTTAGACATGCAGTTTGCTTTCTTCATCAGCTAGCCTTTTTTCTTCTTAAAAAGGACTAGTTGTGGCTTCACCATTGCAGTCCACTGTTTTAGGGACCAAAAAGACTCACAAAGACATTCAGCCATCCCTAGCCATCATCACGCTATTCACGAGCGTTAGGAATCGAACTCAGAACATAACTTGTGGAATACGGGTCTGGAATTCATTCCCAACCATTAGGCCACCTTGTGGTGATTCATCAACTAGCCTTTGATAGTACTTGATTGGTACCACTAATTACCTGAATATAATTTAGGGCAATGCTATCCATACACTCATTTTTACTTCTCACACACCTCTCTCAATTTTCGGCCGTCGGATCGAATAAATTAACAAATATCAATGGCAAAAATTTCAAGAATGTGAGAAGTAAAAATTGAAGTGTGTGAATAACACTTTTCAAAATTTATTATGAAACTTTCTGGTATATATATACACATACACCTTTTGTTGATATGCACATATTTTTCTACTCAAGATAACCAAAATATATGAGGTTCAATGTATTTTAAGTTCCATTTTAAAGGTCTAAACAATATGCATATTTCTTCAATGTCACTTATATAATTTTTTATGAATGATTGTGCCTATCCTAATCATGAACTGTGAAGTCTAAACAAAAGCAATTTGAGTTAATTACTAATAAATAAGGAATAAGAGCAAATAATTAAGGACCATCGATTAGGATTAGGACCATCGATTAGGATTAGGACAATTTTATGTATATACTTCAAATTATAATATGGAAGTATTTTTGCTCATCACACTCAAGCAATGGTGATTCTTACCACCATATTTATTATCGTATGGAGATATGCGTAGTGAATAAACACAAATTTTAAAATTTAAACTCATCCAATTATGCTAAATAGGATGATTAGCATTACCACCACTTAAGAGTGGTGAGCAAAAATGTGGCATTATACTATAGACATGTCTTTTCTTTTCTACCAATAGATGAGGTATGTACATGAACATGTTTTGAAGTGCACATAAAACTCAAGTATTCCTGCGAAGCTATGCAAAAGTACTTATAGGGAAAAAATCTAACAGGACAAGCACACACTTTTAATTATCCCATCCAAACAGATCAAAAATTAAAGTGCTTTTGTAGTAAGTTGCGTTGTAAATTTTATTGGTAAAACCCATTAGATTTATCATAAGTTCTAATCTCATATACGATAATTATTAAAAAAAATTCAAATAATTATTCAATTAAAATGCACTAAGTTTGAATTATTTGGGTAAGGTTTTGGAAAGTTAACACTAAAATATAGACAAAAAACACAACTAAACGAAATACAATAGTTGTTAGGAAAATCGATCAATTAAAGTCTGTTTCTTAACAAAAGTTATTTAAATTCATAAACCTCATATAAAGCTCTTAGATCTAATCCGGATCTTATCAATAAAATAGTAAAAAATTGGAAAAAAAAAAAGAAATTGGTCTAGTTCAAAGCATGTGCATCAAAAGACGACCATAGATCAACAAAGATGCGATTTTTCACACCCCTTTGCTTTACTTACACACCTCAGTTTAGTTTTACTATTGGATTGAATGAATAAAAAAAAAAAAAAATTAATGGATATACATAAACAAGAGTGTTCAAAAGAAGAAAATGAGGTATGAAAATCATTTCCCTTAACATATCATAGCAGATTACATATATCATTAAACATGCATGACATTTGATCTTCATGAATGATTCTAAACAATATATAAAAGAAGATCTCTTGAATAGATTAGAGTTACCTCGGGCCATTTTGAGCATATATATCTGATGTCTAAGCTTCTCTTCAAGGTTGTTTGGATGTAAAAATCTATCATAAAATATTTGTCTTTCTCACTCTAAATCTCACTTATTGTTGATTCTCAAAAAGAGCCTAAATACATGAATGGAGAGAAGAACTAAAGCCCCCTTTCACATATTAAGAATTATAATTAAATTCAAATCTAAGAATAAACCGTAACATGCAAGACTGGCCAATATTTGCTCTCACAGCCAGAATAATACAACAAATTTACACACTTTCCAACGTGTGCATTAATGGACAAATGAAAAGAGGATTCACTCGTCTACTTCTCACAGACTGATACACCAGCTACGTGGCTAAGTTATACATATTGAATACATCTAAAGAAAGTGAAAAATGTGATAAGGAAATAAAGATTGAAAACCTCCCAATCATTCCTCATCACGTGTGACTTTTACTTAGTAGTACTATGTGATTGAGTACTTCTGATTAAAATTCAAATTTAATTGCAAACAAAGAATAGAAGGTAAAAAATAACACAGTAATCAATGCAGACGAAGAATTTCAAAGAAAAAAAAAATTGTCAATGACCAACTAAGAAAATGCAAAAAAATATGCTATTACCTAGTATACTAAGTTGGCCGTCTAAAATGAGATAAAGAAACGTTACCTGATTTGATTTTAGCATAAGCGCTAATTGTTGGTATGGATAGGGATACACTATTATGTATACATAAAACAATTGTTTACCATATATGTGTTTCATAATTCCATTTAGTTGATGTCACCCAGTAACTATTATTGTTACTATTACTTAGTAACAAGTACTATAGCTTTTTCTTCCTACCTACTCACTGTGAGTAGGGAGCGTCTTTTAGATTTAGGGTCAAGCTCAACTTTCTTGTACAATTATTACTTTAATACTTTGTTTAATTATAAACCCATGATACTAGACGTAGTTATAACTATTATTTACTAACAAGTATTACAATTTATATTTAGTAACTTTCAAAAAATTGTTGAGTTTGCATGTGGTAAATTTATACATGCAAGTCGAAGATAGAAACTAATTACAAGAACTTAGATTTAAGATTGTCTTATTACTCATCAATAACAATTTTGTTACTGAGTAATATTGCTAGTTACACAAATTGACTACAAGGAAAAAAAATGCGCTCATAGACTTTGTCAACATAAAATTAAGGTTGATGAGACTTATTTTCATAACTAGCCTTTTGGCACTCGTTATTAAATTGAACAAAAATGCATGGAGTTTTTCATTTTTGTGCGATTACCACCTAAGCTATTGTTTTACCCTTAACAACCTAATCCTTGTGTTGCATTTTTACATCAAATCATCATGGGGAATTATTTATGTGGAGTTCACATTATTATCGTGACTAGGGTACCCAAAGTTATTTTTTATCAACTCACACCAAATTACCGTTAAAATAAGAGACATTTCTTTTATCACGGACACTACATATTCCTGAAAATATTTTTAAGTACTTCAAAACGTTATTTAGTGTTGAGTACTCTTAGTGTGGGTTTTCTTAGGTTTTATTTTTTATCTTTTATAGTTGTTGTAGTTGTTGCCTCAGTTTGAATTTACTTTCAAACGCAAAATAAAATTGAAGTGAGCGTAGTTAATTTAAGCAACAACAAACCTACACATATAAATCACGCCAATATAACATGAATCCTAAGCTCAGATTTAAAAGTAGCAATAATTTTCCAAAAAAAAAAAAAGTAACAATTTTGCATGAAGAAAAAAATAAACTAAAAAAGTGGCAACAATTTCTCCATCCAAAAAAATATTAGTGGCAACAATTTTGGTTGGCAGACTGCACTAAAATGCTTATGGGCATTGAGCATCTTTATATGTTTCTTCAGCCCTCCCTCTCACTGTCCTTCTCCTGCGACATACAACTATGAACTACAGCCTTACACACCAAATGTTCTCCTAAATCTTAGGATGTTTTCTTCTTCATATAACCTGAAGATCAAACAAAAAATGTACAAGATGTGCCAATTCATCATTCTGAATAAACGAAAAATAATCAAATATTGGTAGATATCAAAATAAAATAGTAACAATAGCACCTTCACATTCAGCACTGCCAAGTGCCAACATCTTTTATTTAATCTCATCCTTGTTGCATCAAAGATTTGCTACAATGTCAGGAGCAGAGGCACAAATAAACTTGATTAATTAGCACAAAAAGAAACTTAAATTGTGTTGATTTTTCAATAAAAACCTTCAAAACCTAATTAGCTTGAATCCATTTCAAACAAAAAAAAAAGCACAATATTTTGATTGATTTAGTTAAATGATTGTAAAGAAAACACAAGTAATTTAAGAAAATACTGAACCACTAAAGAAAATAACACACAAATTGAAGAAAATTGAAACCTCTCCTTGTCCGGCTGCTTTGAGATGGTAAGGGACATACCAGTTTTCTCGTCCCATTTTTGGAACATGGGTGTTGAATTTTGAATCTCAAAAACGACGAGTTCGCAGATAATTTATCATCAATTATTGTATAAAAAACAACTATTAAACTTTAAATAATTTGTTTTAAATCACTTACTATTTTTTTGATCAAATAGAAAATGTTTCATTTGGGATGAGGCTCCCCTCTAGATACTTTTTATGAGGATTCATAATTTACACATTGTGCAACCATAAATTATTAGATATTGTTTATATTTAATTTTAAATAAAAAAATAAAAAAAATTTAAACATATACAATGAAGGAATAGGTGAGATACAAAATCCTTTCATTTGATGATTAATCCACAAGCGCTCAAAAGTCCGAACGACCGCAAAGAAACTGTGTACTCGTAGTCGCACGGCAGGCGTCCCCTTCGAAGGACTTGACGATGTGGGCCTTATCCTGCGCCACGTCTGCTTATCCTACGCTCTCTCCCAGAGCTTCCGTACCCAGGGCTACTAATCGCTCAAGCTCTCCACTCTCAGTCCCTACCAATCACCATTTTCATGCGAAAGACTCTCCTTTTGTTCCAGAGGTATATATATTGCTTCAAGTTCATGTTTGATAGGTAGTTTTCTGCATTGCAGGAATTTATTAGAAATCAAAATTCTAAGTATTTAGCTTTTATTGCTGCTCGTGTTCTCTCAAAGTTCAGTTACTTTGCCGGTCAGTTTTCTGTTTGGTTGCTTAGAAAATTTGGTAATGGTCGAGAAAGATTAACCCTTTTAAAATTTTTGCTGTTATTTATGTTTCCATGAATTTCAGAGCAACTAAACTAACCCATCTTCCATTCATTAATATTTCCTTAATTTCTGTGGCAACCTTAATTGCTTTCTTAACTTGTGTATGATTCAATTACCATGCTCGGAATTATGTGGAGCTTGGAAGGCTGGATGTTTGGTTTAAGCACTAAAAGCTTCATTGTGATAAGAGCCCAAGTGCTTTCATTTCTGTGCAATGCAGGTTTCGGACGCAGTGGACTCGTTGTATTCAGAGTTCAGAGCCGTGGATAATTTGGTTGCACGCAATACCACCCGTGTTCTTAAAGCTTTCCAGAATGCTCGAGTTGGATCACATGTAAGTAGTTTTTTGTTTAATTCGGATATAATGTTGAAGATGGTTCATGTAATCCTTTAGAAGGAAGAATGCATAGAGTGGATCAACATGTTATTAGCAGCAGCTATCTATACATCTCATTCCATTGTTTGTTTGTGTACATATTTTTTTCTGCCTATGTTTGTAAGTAGAAGCGTGTCTAGATTTGTTCTTTGTTCAAAGGACTTTTTTTGTTATAGTAGTTGTTATAATACATGAATTGAAACAATAGTGCCTTACTGTTTTCTTTCCATACGTAACCAATGCGCTAATTCTGTAAAAAAAGTCGAAAAATTCTCTATTTGGGTCTTTTGACTTCATCAAATTCTTACCCTTCACTGATAATTATAAGATGATTAACTTTCTTGTTTATGGTATCATGGCCACTGTCATTTGTCTATAATCAGCACTTTGCCGGATGCACTGGTTATGGTCATGATGAAGCTGGGGGACGTGAAGCACTGGACCAAGCTTTTGCTGAAATTGTTGGGGCTGAATCTGCTATAGTTCGCTCACAGGTTTGCCATATATAGTGTGGTGTGTTTGCTTTATGGGGTTTTATGCAATGCTTTTTTAATCCTCTTCTCCAATACATTCAGTTTTTTTCAGGAACTCATGCTATAACATGTGCTTTATTTGCTTTTCTAAGGCCAGGGGATGAGGTGAGCTGTTAATTTGATGCAGATGCACTCCATGTTGAAAAATTATCTGCAGCTACATAATTGTTCTTTGTCCACCTATTTCCTTGGAATATGTTTAGACTTTCAACTAATCTACATGTCAGCTTTTGGCAGTTGCTGGTCCTCCCTATGACACCTTGGAGGAAGTTATTGGAAAGAGAGACTCTCATGGCATGGGGTCCTTGACAGATTTTGGAGTGAAATACCGAGAAGTTCCAGTATGTAACTAGTTACATTGAAAGATTTTTGTTTAGATTTGTTGGTGTGTTTTTTGAACTATCTCATATCTGATGTCATTTTAGCTTGCTGAAGATGGCGGCCTTAACTGGGATGCACTTATCCATGCTTTGAGACCTGAAACAAAATGTGCGCTCATACAGAGGTCATGTGGTTATTCATGGCGTCGGAGTTTAAGTGTAGATGAGATAGGGCAAGCAATTAAGATAATTAAGGTAAGTTTCTTGACTATCCCATTATGAATTTCATGGAACTGGCTTTGTAACCAGAGTGTGCCATGGAAGTGAATATCTGCATTAATCACGGTCTGAGTGACAATAGGTATCGTGATCAGATTAAAAGTGGTGTCATTCTATATTAGATAGCATGACATTTTAACAAAATGGTGTTGTTTTCACCTTGAGTAGCCGAGAATACTGGGGTGTATAAAGATTTTCTACACTTCCACTGTTGTTAATATATATGAGTTCAATTTATTATTCTGGAGTAGCCTGAAAGTGATATATATCAAACATATTATTGTTAACTCTTGTCAATCATTTTCCCCTTTGTATTGGAAAGTTTACTGTTGTTCCATTTGTATTTATCCATTCCAGACGCAGAATTCTAACTGCTTGGTCATGGTGGATAACTGTTATGGTGAATTTGTGGAAAGCATTGAACCTCCATTGGTGGTATGTGCAGATTTTATATATCCTTTTCTATTCCTTATGATGAAAGGCAATAAAATGTCATTATTGGTGTTCAGGGTGCAGATTTGATTGCGGGCAGTTTGATAAAAAATCCTGGTGGGACTATAGCACCATGTGGTGGATATGTTGCTGGGAGAGAAAAATGGGTAAAAGCAGCATCAGCTCGTCTGTCTGCACCTGGCCTTGGAGTTGATTGTGGCGCAACTCCTGGTGACATTATGCGAGCATTTTTCCAGGGTTTGTTCCTTTCACCTCAAATGGTAGGCGAGGCTATCAAGGTATTGGAATCTGCATTTCCTAGTTTACGTTTTATTTGTCATTACTTCAACTTTGAACTGAAATTCTTTTCCCTGATTTTCTATACCTTAGGGCACTTTACTGGTAGCTGAAGTTATGGCAGCCAGAGGGTATAAGGTGCAGCCACTTCCTCGTATTCCTCGTCATGACACAGTCCAGGTATTTAGAGCTTATTTTGCCCTCTTTATAAATGCCAAGCGAACCTTCAAAACATTATATTGGTGGTTAAGAAATTTAGGTCTGCCTGAAGAGTCACATCGTCTAGGGTCAACAAATTGTGTATCAGCAAGCTGCTGTTTATTTCTTTTATTCTAATTTCTAGAATGTTATTTGTACATGTAGGATGATAATGTTATTCTGGTTGTATAGCTTTGATTAGTGGATTGACAATGTTAGTTGAGAAATATGCCCTACTACAAGCAAGAGCATCTCAGATACTCATGTAATTCTTTTCAGGCTGTACAGCTTGGAAGCCGTGAGCGCCTTCTTGCTTTCTGCGAGGCTGTACAGAGAAACTCCCCAGTAGGTTCATTTACCAAACCAGTGGCTGGTGCAACTCCTGGATATGCATCAGAGGTCTGGCCGCATTTACTCCTACATTTCATTTACATAACTTCTCAGAATTTGTTTTGCATCTCTTACATTACAACCCTGGAAGCAGGCAGCAGAAGCAAGTACTATTAATATGCACTGCTCCTAATCCTAAACCAAACCTATGAGTCTGATTTTCATGAAATGTTAGTTACCAGTTGACAATTTTCCTATGTGAAAAGTTGAGAAGGCAATGCTACTTCTTTCTAGTTTCGTTGTATCTAGAACGCTAAGCATGCGTAAGAGCATTATTGAAATCTTTATCAACTGTGACATTGTCTCATTCTGTGCTCTTATGTCAAGAGTGGTTTCAGATCTTGCATTAACAAGTTCAACTGTTCAATTTAACTTGAATTTGAAAGGTTACTTGAAAATTTGCAGTTAGGCTTTCGTTTTCAATCGCCTTTAGTTGTCATGTACCAGGTGATCTTTGCTGATGGAACCTTCATTGATGGGAGTACAAGTGAGCTTTCATGCGATGGACCATTAAGAGAGCCATTTGCTGTGTTTTGCCAGGTAAGTGCTTGTTTTATATCGTCTCTTTTCCTTGTTGAGACTTGACCTCCTATTCTGCAATTTGAAGGGTAAGTTTGAAGCGTTAGAAGTGCAGACTCTGGTGTATGTAATCAAGACAGTTATTGCTTCGTAAATATTCGTTTTGTTGGATCTTTAATGCAGGGTGGCTCACATTGGACTCAGTGGGGACTAGTTCTTGGAGAGGTTTTAAAAGCCATATAATGTAGAACCAAACGTTGCAATGACGGTAGCAGAGTTGTAAGGTTGAACGTTTCCGGGAACACCAAGAATTTCTGTTTGCCATACAAGAAATTACATTTAAACTGTACAGTTATGGCAGTCTCAAGAAATATCCTCACCGCAGTTGTTCAAAAACACATAGAAGGAGCGGCATCAATCTCACTTCAATTTTTTACATAAGGTATGCCAGACCTTGTTTTCATGTTATTCGCGGGAGTTTCTTGCATCTAATGACCGTAATATACCTTGGCATACCTTGGAAATTAGTTAAATGTAACAATTTTGGCCTTTATATTGTGCATTGATTTTTGTCTCTCGTTATATCAATTGACAATGCCCGAGCGATAAGTGAAAATTTTACATTTGGAGATGGTCTTACGAGCCTTGCTGTGACACAGTGTTCGCAAGCGGAAGGATTTGATAACTAGGTTGATTATGGTAGTATTTTCTGTTTAGTTACGGACTTGATTATGAGATACAGTTGATTTTGGAGACCATGATGAAGACAACATTGAATTTCAAAGGAGCTATATATTTTTGCCGGCTAAACAAGACGACTTCATCAACTGCTTCTACATCATTTATGAAGATTTAATGCGCTTTACACACTACTTACATCGTTATATTACCATATTAGTTTTTTGTTGAAAGATATCATATCGAAAATCAACTAAGTTTTAAATATTCAAAATTAAAAAATACATACAAAATATGAATGACATTGACAGATTTTCATTTATCTCTAATATTAAAAAAATTAAAATGAATTCGAAAATACAAACAAAAGATGCATGACATTAATAGATTTTAATTTATCTCTAATATTAAAAAACTTAAAATGAATACATAAAAATGGTAGTGGGAAAAATAAAAGGCAGAAATGGACTTAAAAAGATGACTAAAATGCGGTGAAGGTGGATCGAACACCTGACCTTCAGATCTTCAGTCTGACGCTCTCCCAACTGAGCTATCCCCGCTGATTAATGTCTAATCGTCTATTATTTACTTATAACTGCAAGTTAAATGTGCCATCTCGATTCTTCAGCTAAATTTCTGCAATCGTTGTTCAAAGAGCTCCAATCGCTTCCATCTCTCAGCGCCCAATAATCTCAATCCGACCGACCAACAAACCGGTCGCGTATTTTCTCATAGCTCTCCAGAAACGCTAGAAAATTTCGCAGCGGAAGAAGCAAGCGTTTTTCTCTGCAACCAAACAGCCAGTCAGTGCCATTCATTCTTCTACCTTTAGCATTACTTCACAGTTGACTTAGCTTACTTTTTGTTTTTTTTTATATGTTTTGTGCTATGTGTTGGACTGTCTCGTTGTGGCCTGATTAAATTTGGGATTCTGAAAATTTTGAAAATTTTCTCACTTGGGTCGTCACAAGTTTATGATTTTCTAATTGGGTTTTGTGATTTGTGAAATGGATTTTGTGCTTTACTTGAATCCGAATCCTTTTGCAGGTGCTTCTTGAATCAGCACTTTTGTGGTTAAAGACCCAAAAAACCAGAGAAAAATGGCAAATCCTGCACAACTTGTTCTTCTGGGTTCCACTTTCTGTATGATGGTCACAACGCATTTCTCACTACAGCTTCTCTCAGAGCATTTTTTCTGCTGGAATAAACCAAAGGAGCAAAAGGCCATCATAATCATCATACTTATGGCCCCCTTATATGCCATTGATTCCTTTGTGGGCTTGTTGGATTACCAGGGAAGCAAAGTTTCGTTCACGGTCTTGGATTCGATCAAGGAATGCTACGAGGCTTTGGTAAGATTTCGACGTTGGGAGATGTAGTTGTTCATCTTGTATAACGAAGAAAAAAAGTAAGATTTGAGGTTGTGTTAGCATATTGTTAGTTCTGAGTTTCATTGGGTTCATTATACATGTGCAGGTAATAGCCAAGTTTTTGGCTTTGCTGTACAGCTACTTGAACATATCCATAAGTAAAAACATCGTGCCAGATGAAATCAAAGGACGGGAGATTCACCATTCGTTTCCAATGACTCTTTTTATGGTAAATGAATTTTCTTCTCGGATTCTCGTTGTTTTAGTTAATTTAACTAATGATAAATGAGAATGTTTTCTGATACAACGACTTCAATTTTATGCTTAATGAACTCATATTCTCTTTGGGATGGGAACAATAGAAAGATCTTTAGCCGTATATCCAAATTCTTAGTCTTTCCACCATCTTCCAGTTGTAGTGTGTGCAAAGGCACGTGCATAGCTAATGTTCCTTGGATTTATTTGTACCTAGCTTAGTTTTGTTAACCTTCACTAACTGAGGTAATATGTTGACTTGTATCTATCAAACAATGCAGCCTCGCACTGTTCGTCTGAACCATCATACTTTGAAGCTTCTCAAGTACTGGACATGGCAATTTGTTGTGATTCGCCCTGTGTGCTCCATCTTGATGATAACTCTTCAACTTCTTGGTGTATATCCCAGCTGGGTTAGCTGGACATTCACTATAATTCTGAACATTTCAGTGTCACTGGCTTTGTATTCTCTTGTCGCCTTCTACCATGTGTTTGCTAAAGAGCTGGCACCACACAAACCGCTCACTAAGTTCTTGTGCATCAAAGGGATTGTCTTCTTCTGCTTTTGGCAGGTAATTATCATTTTGCCTGCCCTTTCATGTCAAATGGGGGTTGTTAACTTAGAGAATGCCATTGTGGATATAGTGTTTTGTATATGTTGTGAACTCTGACTAGGAATTTAAACTCCTGAAGCCGTTAGGCATGAAAGTTACCACTGGATTGGTCTTAATGTTCATGACTCATGAATCATGAGCAGATAAGCTTCTTGCGTAGAATCTCCTAAAGAAATATTCTTGCAGTATGCATATGCATTCTTCCTTCTAGATTATCTAGCAGAAAGATATAGCAGATCATAAAATCATTCAGTTGCCAAGCAAAATCGTCTTTAATTTATCCAGATATAGTTTGTTATGGTTTAAGGAGAATAAATACTTTCTTTTCCATGCTGATTGTTGGGATTCTTGCACCGATTTTAACACGGTTATCCATGTCTAAGGCTCTGTTTCATCTTTGTTTCGTGAGATGTCCAACACCATATTCTATACCTTTGTATCTGCATTGAATCTTGAGACATACATCGATTCGTTTTCTCTGCTAGCCTCACTATAACATGCACATAACTAAGTTTTTTTGCTCAATTACCGAAACTGATATTCCCGTGATTGGTTGCTTTTAAAAATCATCCATAACGTGTATTTTCAAGAACATTCAATTTCGTTAATGTGTAATCGATTCAATTGGGAGAAGGGCTATTTCTTAGTTAAATATACGAGTTCTTTTAGAAAGAAAGTTCTTGTATGATTTGACAAAGCAGTTCACCTGATTTTGCAGGGGATTGTCCTTGATATTCTCGCAGCGCTGAAAATAATCCGATCTCATCATATCTGGCTAGACGTGGAGCATATTGAGGAAGCTCTTCAAAACATACTAGTGTGCGTGGAGATGGTTTTCTTTTCAGTTGTTCAGAAGCATGCATACAGTGCCGAGCCATACAGAGATGCTGAAATATCGACTAAGGCATATGATAGGAAGAAAGACTGATCTCGGAGATCATGAGCGTGAGTGTGGTTTAGAATCGTATGTACTGATATTTCTTCAATTCTGCACTGCAGTAGTTATTTTACAAGGAACGACGGCAAACATATCTACCTTATTCTATGTGACGTTGATCCAGAGAGTTTTCCGCTTTTTTTTTTTTAGAACAAACGATATTATCTGTACTAAAGGGAGGGAGGGGATCGGCTTAGCCTCACAATGGGCTAGCAATAATATGGTTCAAATTCGCCTTTGACGAGAATCGAACCTAAGATCTCATTTACAAGTGAAAAAGAATATCACTTAACCGTAGTACTAAGTGGTTGATCTAAAGAGTTTGTACTACTATAGATGACCCAAAAACTTTCTTAAACATTTCACTTACACTCCTTGTTTTAAAAAAAAAATTATTTCAAAATAGTCTTTGACGAGTTCTAGCACCGAACCTTGCCGCTCTCTCTGTCAAGCACAATTTGAGAGAGGGAGCGGTAAAGATCATATGCTATTTTACAATGAACGACAACAACCATGTTTGTCATCTGACATTGGAAACTGATGCTACCTGACAGTAAACTATGCTAAGCTCGAGCCATAGTTAAAATTAGTCAAGATGTGGGCATACGATATTTCGATTGACTAAACGATCTTATTTTAAATTAATTTTTTAAAAAATAATCTTTACAGAATAATTTTATAAAATAAACGATTCTAACCATGAATACGAATTTTTTGAATTAGTAACGAAGTATCTTAAAGAGAACCTTCTCAATCTTAAGAAGCCATTCCCTCGTACAAGATTCTTGATTGTACTGTGATGTGCTATATTTGCACGCTAGATTATGAAGACATGCATCCATCATTACCCAAAATTATAATTACCAGAAAGTCAATTTCCGCACAATTAAAAATAAATATTAAAAAAGATTGTGGAAATTAATACAGACTACTGCTGTTTGCCACATAAGTCACATCCAGCAAGAAACAGGATGATTGTTCGAATAAGTCAGTGCAGTGCTGAAAGTAGAAATATCAAATCGACACACGAGAAAGTAGAGAAGCCAAATCCAAAGAGAAATTGTCTTTCCCCATTTACTAAGTCCAAATACCACCATAAAATCCTCCATGAGAAGTACAAAACCAGAGTTTTGAGATATTGGGTCCTTTGTTCTTAAAAGCTTCCAATCATTTCTATGGCAACCGTCGTTCAAATCTCCATAAATTCCCTATCTTTCAGGCTGAGCAGTCTGCACAATAGGACATGCAAGAAACCTATCAAATATTTTCCTCTGTCGAGGGCAAAGATTGGGTTTTTGAAGCAGAGCAAGTTCAGGTTGCAGGCTTATTGGGACAGGGATGGGACTTTGGTGACAGATGAGGGGTGGAAGAGAAAGAAGAAGAAGAAAAGGGAGGTCGTGGTGAGGTTGAATCAGGGGTTTGGTGGGTTTAATGGCGGCGGTAGGCGGTGGCGGTGGTGGTGGGAAAGATGACGGAGCCATTGCTAGACTTCTGGGCAATTTGGCTGTAGCTATTGGATTGACTTATCTTTCGTTTACTGGGCAGCTTGGCTGGCTTTTGGATGCTATTGTTTCCATTTGGGTACTCTCTCTCTCTCTCTCTCTCTCTCTGTGTCTCTAACATTTCTGAAGATTTCTGGGTATGCTACTACTGTTTTGTGTATGTCTAATGAAATTGATGGGTTTTGATATGCAGCTGATTGCAGTGCTTGTACCAATTGTTGGTGTGGGTGCTTTTCTGTGGTGGGCAGGGCGGGATATGGTTCAAGACAGTGTAAGCTACTTCAAATTTTTAGTTTTCTTCGACTGCGTATCGAATTTCTGTTGCTGGGTTTCGCCGTGAAATCGCAACTCAAAAGTTGTTGGTTTAATTTCCCTGTTCTCAATTTGATCATTTCCCTCTATGCATTTGCAAACAGTGACTAGTAATTGAGGATAGGAGCTAATTTGTCTGCTTCTATTATTTTTTATCAATAGATATGTAGGTCTTACTCTTACATAATGCTTTGGATTGTGTTTGGAGTTCATTTATCAATCTGCAGATCTTTTAATTTGAGTGATATATGAAGAATGGATGGTTTACCCGAAAGGCTTTACGATTTAGTTCGTTAGGAGTTGAGTAATATTTGCAGTAATTGGATGTCTTGATTTCAAATAACTGTATCGCGGGCGCTGTATAAGTAGATATGGATACATGATTTCGAAGGATTCGAATGCAAAATACAGCATCGTAATCAGTTCATTCTTCCCCGTGGGGGAATGTATCAGAGAAATGCATGTTACATGTATAATAATTGAAAAATTTTGAGTACTTGAATGATACTTGTTCATATAAAAACCACTCAAAATGTTATCGACTCTTAATCAGTACTTTTTGAGTAACATCCTGGGTATTTTTGTTTTTCGAATGTGACGTTTAGATTCTTACTCTGCAGTCTTCTGCCTCGAATGATTGTTTTTCTTTATGTACTTGCAGTGCCCAAACTGTGGAAACGATTTCCAGATTTTCAAGTAAGACCAGCTAACTTATATAGTTTCTAAGGATTGTTATAACCTAACTTGGGCAATGATGCGACCTTTTGCAGGTCGACTTTAAATGATGATTTGCAGCTCTGCCCCTACTGTAGTCAACCTTTTTCCGGTATACGCTCATATTTTGGTTTCTTGCTTCTCTGAATTCCAAATTACACTTGCGGCATTTTTCCTTGTAGCTGTCTGCACTCTGCGGACCGTGTACTTACGTTACCATTACTGACTAATATTATGTGTTTTTTCGTGTTGATGAACTCCTGTTTTCTGTGTAGTTGTCAAAACTTACGGGTTTATGTTTGTTTTAGTTCCAAAAATTCCTTATACTGCTTTATCCTGTCAGTAGACCAATGCCATTTCACTACGGCGCCACTAGTAGCTACATTTAACAAGTCTCTTTACGTTGGCAGCCCCGTTTACATCGTGTTGCCAATTTTTATACCTAAAATCTGAGTAACTTGGTGGTTATAGAATATACAGGCCCCTTTTTGTGCGCTTTCATACTAAATCTTTGTAAAACTCCTTATTTTGTTTTTGTATCGATGGAAAAGTAGTGTGGATGTTGCCTCATGTTGTAAGATGTGGTTTAATTTCAGTGGTGGATGACAAGTTCGTGATGGACCCTATAAAATTCTCCAAACAATCTACAACATTTGGGCAGGCATTCAACGACTTCACCCGTTCCACAAGAGGTTATCCCTGAAAACCCTGTTGCCATTTTCTCTTCGTGATCATATTTTGCGAGCCTGCATTTGATGATTGTTAAACGTCTGCATTTTTCTTGTCACCGTTGCCTTGCATTTTTATCTTGCATTAAGGGCCAAGGGTGTAATAGACTCCTAATCGTCGATGAATCCATAAATCGTAGGGCATTTTCTATAGTAGTGTATGCATCAAATCGATATGCTTTCTGAACATTGACACTGGTTACAGGGAAGGATTCTTCTACGGCAGTCGTTGATATTGAAGCGGATGTAAAAGATGCAGACTGAGGTTGCTAATTATTCTTCGAATATGATTTGGTACTACTCTTAGATAATTGAATATAAGGGATGTAGAATAGACAACAAAATAGTTCGTTTTTAGAAAGATCCGATGGAACATTTTTGTGTCGTGGCATTGATAACGCATGAGCCATAAACCAACATTTTATTTTTTGGTACAAGCGATATTCTACTTTAAACTAATGCTAAAATGTAGAGGAGCATTCATACCTGGGTGCGCGGGAAGGAACATGTCCGCTATAACCAACATTTGATAAAGAGAAGGGGCTCCATGTACTTACAAAGTTGCATGTACAACAGAAACTGCCTAAAAACAACGATGTCTTGTAACATCAAAAAGTGCATCCTCATTGTAAACTGTTCTGAAGCCAAGACACGGTTTGTTTAATTGCACATTGTATTCAGGTCCCCCAAAAGCTAGCGTGGCCGTTCTTCAACTCTCTGCAAGCAAAGGAAGCAGATATGGAAAAACTTCCGTTTCGTAGTTCCAACTCTTTGCAAACTTATTTCAAAGTTTGAGAAACATGCAAGTCATCCAACAAGAGCTACAACTAATCAAATGCTTTGTCCCAGAAGATGAACAAATGAAAACACCGCTAGCGGATGAAAAGTACATCAAGACACTGCATAGAAAGCATACATAAACAATCCGCCCAACTCATACAACGCGAATCATTTTACGCGGCCAAGTTCTCAACACCGAATAGGAGTTAAGAATTGACAGTTCAGATGCGGCCCCAAGACACTAAATAGAAGATACAGCCATGTAGTAGAGTATGAGAAAGCACTTAAGACATTGATTATTTAGTTTCGTGGGATCATGAGATGAAAGTGAAATAGACATAGTACCTCTTCCTTTATGTCCTCTTTGCCTTTCGTGAAGAACTTGTAACCCCCATATATAACTGTCCCCAATCCAGCTAAAGAGACAAGCAGAAACTGTAAGGGAAAAAAAAAGCCGAGTGAAGCAACAGCCGTAAGATGTTAGAGTCTTGACTATCATGAACAATATGTTTGTGCTCGCGTGCAACGCTATTGTGAGCAATCCAAACTTAGTTTTGTATGAGAACTTAACCAGACCATTTTGTGTCCTTTTACCGGGTAGTTCAACGGACAACTTAACGACATCCCCCAACATATCCACCTAGAGTGGAATCTGAGACCGCTGCATAGTGCATAGCACCAGTAATTTGTTCCTCAATATCACAACGTGACCGAGAGGTGTTTAGAGATTTCTATTTCACTCCGGAGGTGCAACTTTTTTTATTGACAAAACATGGAAATTTCGACTTTGTATGGATGTTCCGCGGAACATAATAAACAAAATCACGAGGCTAGAGAATGCGCGTAGCATGACACCGCAAGAATGTTGGTGCGAAAACACGACACTTCTCAAGTAAACAAGTAATCGATAGTCTCAACAGCGAACAAGCAAAACCTTTATATAAAACTCACTTGTTCTTCCTTCCATTTAGACGGGTGCATTGGGTCCTCCCAAAAGCTCACCTTCCCAGGTCCATGACGATCTGCGCAACAGTCAAAACAACACAAAATTCTATAAAAACAGAGAAATTCATACGTAAATCACGCCTTCTGAGCAACCGAACGCAAATCAAGTGACGGAAAAAGATTAAATGGGAAGCTATTGATGAAACGAATAGAGGTCAATCAAAGGTGAATGAATTACCGCCGCCTGTGGCAAAACCGCGCCGATGGACGAGGGAATTGGTTTGAGCGGTGGAAGCCGACTTGGGAGGGGAAACCCGCGCCATATTCGCTGCACTGCGAGACGCTACTGTCCATGCCGCCATTGTTCGGTGCTGTGATCTCTCTATGAGTGCAACGGTGCAAGGTTGTCACTTCTCACTTAGCTTGGAGAGAGAGAGAGAGAGACTATGTGCAAGTCCAGAGAAGGTACACGAGAGTGAGTGAAGGAACAATGTGGCAGGAAAAATTGTTTTTGCACTGCCAGGAATGCCCTTCTTGTTTTATATTTCCTCTTTCCTACGAGGGCTTCCCCATATCTCCTATACACAGTCACTGTAACGTACCAAATTGAAATAGAGGGGCTCCAATACAACGTCACTCTAGCGTCCCAATACCTATGATTTATGGGAACTTGCTAAAACTCCCCCTTTTTTGGGCGAAAATTCTGCACCATAATTTGAGTAATGCTATGCTCACTCTGAACCTCATTTATTTGCAATACATCCACATTATTTTATTACAATTAGTTTTACTTTATAGTTCTTACATTGTTTACTTTCTGTTATGATCATTAACACCAAACCTCGTTCTAAAGACGCGAACGAATGAAGATCTTTTTCTTCTTGTTCTGCAGAAGATCCGAACCCTGAACGCCTTCATCCGGCATCTTCTTTGGATGCCCTAATCCTTCAACATGCTCTGCTGATGTCTTATGTTGCTGCTTTACAATATTCGTTTCTTCCTGCATCTGCTCCATTTTTGCGTGCATTTCCTCCATCACTAACTTAAGATCTTCCGGTTTCTTCTTGTCGTCAAGAGATGCTGAAAGGGGTGGATGGTCCTTTAATCCTTCCCGCACAATCTGATGCGCTTGCTTCCTACCTGCAGCAAAAATGGCGGAAAATGAAATGAAAAGATGGAGAAAGAGAAACAATGGTGAATGCGTCCACAACGTTAGCCAAGCTGAAAACATGGAAGTATAAACACAAAGAACCAATTCTAGTAGCCGTCCAAAAGATATAAATATTTTTTCATCAACATATATTATCCCACCCATTTAGTGGGAAAAGGCTTTGTTGTTGTTGTTGTTGTTGTTGTATATATTATCTCACATCAGATATAGTAGTTAAGTACAATAGCTCCGAACTAATTTGAACGGAAAACAGATACAGCAGTTAACAGAAAGCATCAGTGCATCCTTGCAGGCAAGGAATGGGATGCAATGCAGTACAGGCTGAGCCTGTAAACCGAATTCATCATTGCCCTTACATCCTATTCCAAATAAAATCTCCGATACCAACCGTTATACAAAATTATAAGCCTCCCTAGCTCCCTAAAATCGCTATCAAGTCTGCATTTTGATATCCCTCAATTTTCGATAGTTCACATTGTTTCGCACATCAAGTCCAAAGTACACAGTATTTACATTTCAGCCCGTTTGATAACCATTTCGTTTGTGGTTTTTGTCATCCAAAGCTTCCCCAATTTTACATCCACAGGAACTCATGTTCAGTTATTAGACTGCTGTTTCCATATGTCAAATTACTGCACACAACATTCAACACCCAAACAACAATCCAAACCTCTCTGAATTTTCCAAACTTTTCATTGAATTTTTCAAAGAACCCACAAATTAAAATCGATAAAATTCAAAATTTATGCATTTCCGCAACTGCAGTTATAATTTAATTACATGGGCATCATTCATTTCAAACAAGAAACTGAAAGGACCGATTTTAGGGTTTAACAAGAACCATCTGTTCTTGTAAAATCTCAGTACTTTTGAAATAATTAACAAAGTTAATTAAACCGGATTGCAGATTACATTAAAGCAATAAAAATCCAAAATTTATGAGACAAATGAAAAGCTAACCAGGGAAGGCTTTGAAAGAGTAGTTGATGGTGGAGTCAATGGCGAATTTGGCGATGTTGCTCAGAAGCCCGCCGCCAATCTTTTCTCGGCGGTTGGCGTTGGATTTGTGCGCTTCCAGCTTAGAGGAGGGTCTCTCAGTTCTTATGGCGGCCATTTCGGCAGCGAGCGACGTGTCGTATGGTACCCGATACGCTTCTGTGATGGACGATATATCGGATGCGTTTCGGATTGATGGAGCCCTCGGAAAACCTATGTTTCAGTATTGTCAGCTGAAAATAATGCCGTAGGAAGAAGAGGGACATTTTATCTTTTCATTTTTATTATTTTACTTTTAGTATTCTTCTGATTAGACCTTTAACTTTCTACCCATTGCAAAGTATCCCCTAAATTATTATTTTAGCCAAGTTCCCTCGAACTATTAAAATTGAAAATTCACCCCTACCCTCAAGTTCCAAGAATTCAACCATTTTTTAATCCAAAATAATATATACCCGGTCCTTTAATGTTATTTGATATTTATTATTGGATTTGGTGCTACCTACATTAAATTTGTACAGTAAGGGTTGGTTTGGTATTGTTGTGCTTTAAAAAAAAAGTGATTCTGCTGTACTGTGAGAATAAGCAGCTGTGAAATAAAGCAGCAGAGTGTTTGGTAAACTTTTTTGTAAAAGTGCTTTTGAAAAAAAAAACTTTTATGTAAAACAGATGTGAAAAAAAGCTGGGTTTTGCAACTTCTTGTTTTTGGCTTTTTTTTTCACCCGCTGTGAAAAAAAGCTGAAGCTAAATGTTTACCAAACACAAAAATAGCTCCCAGCTTTTTTTTTATACCAGTTTTTTTTTAGAATCACCTCAATACCAAACTAAGCCTAAATGATATGAACACGAGATAACCACGAGCTGGTGGCCCAATGATAAAGGGAGGATTACGAGGCTTTCTTAAAACTAAAAACTAGAGGTCTCGGGTTCGAAACTCGCTGCTGGTGTGGAAGCCAGACTTGTGGTCAGGAGAGGCTTCAATGCCTCTCTGAGTCCAGACTTGTGGCCAGAAGAGGCTTAAATGCCTCTCTAAGATTTTTCGACCTCAGGAAGGGGTGGATAACCGTGACTTACCACCAGTTGTCCCATTGAAAAAAAAAAAAGATATGGACATCAAATATTTTTTACTACAATTATTAATCAAATCTCAACTTGAATTAAAGCACAAATTTGATTGATGTCACATCATCTGGTGCACAAATTTGATGTATATAATAGAGTAAAGTACAAAAAACTACCTCAACTATTGGTGTCACGACACTTTCATACCTTATCTTTTAAAATTGATAATGTCATACCTCATCTTTAGAATTTGTGTCAATTTTATACCTTCCGTTAGCTTGGCCGTTTATTTCTCAGTTAAATTCTGATGTGGCTTGATCCGGGACCCATTTTTTATTAAGAAATTAATAAAATATTATTAAAAACTAAAAAAAATCATTTAATATTTTTTAAATATTAAAATAATAAAGAAAAGTAAATAAAATTAAAAATTAAAAAAAAACCTCAGGTCCGTTTGTCCCTCCCCCCTCTCTCTCTTCCCCATCTTCCTGCAACCCAGAAAGAAGAATGGGGAAGAAGAAGAAGAAGAAGAGAGAAAGAAGAAAAAAAAAAAAAAAAAAAACCCAAACCAAACCCAATTCGTCCCCCCTCCCCCCACCACAAACCCAACCCCCTGCAACCCAAAAAGCAGGAGGAGAAGGAGGAAGAAAAAAAAACCCAAACCAACCCGAAGGAGGAAGAAGAAGAAGAAGAAGGGAAAAAAAAAAAGAAAAAGGGAAACCCAGTTCGTCCTCCCCCACCTGCAGAAGAAGAGAAAGAAGGGAAAAAAAAATAAAATAAAATAAAACCCAGTCCGCCAGGTTTCCCGATTCCACCTCAACGGGATCTGGGTTTTTTTTTTTTTTTTTTGATTTGCAGGTAGTGGGTGCGAGGTTGGGTGCGGGGAGAAGAGGGGGTGGGGAGTGGGGAAGACAAATTGGTTTTTTTTTTTCTCTTCTTTTTTCAGGGTTGCAGCAGGAAGGGGAAGAAGATGAAGATGGGGAGAAGAGAGGAGGGGGGGACGAACTGATGTTGGTTTTTTTTTTTTTTTTTTTTTTTAACTTTTCTTTATTATTTTAATATTTAAAAAATATTAAATGATTTTTTTTAGTTTTTAATAATTTATTAATAAAAAATGGGTCCCGGATCAAGACACATCAACATTTAACTGAGAAATTCACGCTTAGCAAACGGAAGGTATAACATTGACACAAATGCTAAAGATGAGGTATGACATTGTCAATTTTAAAAGATGAGATATGAAAGTGTCGTGACACCAATAATGGAGATAGTTTTTTGTACTTTATCCTATATAATATTATTTCTAGTCCATTATAAGGCTAAGCTTATCTCTCTCTTTAGTGTAGATAATATCGTTTGTTTAAAAGAAAAAATTATTCTTATTATTTTAAGTTATTAATGTTGTTCCAACCAAAGTTCACGCCATACTCTACAAATCAAAATATACAATTGGCCTTTTGGTCGCATGTTGACACTCGCACATCGGAGTTCAAAAGAACATAGTTAGGACCCAAATTAACAGCTTTTGCACACTACGTAGATTGTTAACCTTTAGTATAACACACCTGATAATGTGTTATTAGTTGAGATGTGGCAAAATGCGTACTAAGTGTGGATAAAACATTTTCCGTCAATCTATTAGGTCACGCGCATTATCAATAACAAAAATATTAGGTTTAAGCCACGTACTTTAGTAAATAGCAACAAAAAGAGCAATGAAATTATGAAATCACTTTCTTTTTTTTTTTCAATCCAAGGAATATGTACAGAGAATGAAATGTGAAGAAATTGAAAAAAAAATAAAAAAAAATCAAATCCAGGACGCACATTACCGATCTTTTTAATTTTATACAGGGTATTACATAAATATATAGAGTTCCAGTAACCAATTAAACTCACTTCCCAAATTATAGGTGGGAATTTGTTAACATGGAAATATCAAGGGTAGAGCCCTCCCTTTTCAGTGTATCCAAATGCTCAGCTGAAGGTTGTGCCCTTGCAACTCTGGCAATAGCCTTGTTTTCTTCATCTGTCCCTCCCTCCAAAAACGTTCCCACAATCCTCCCATCCTTGATCCATGCTGCTCCAAACTTCGGTTTTCTTGACGTCGGATCGCGGTCTCCAAACAGCAACGGATCACCCACATTGTCTCCGTAAAATGTCCAAGAAAGATTGAAGGCACGCGAGTAGAAGTACGGAACATAGTCGTACTCATCAATGCACTTCCCTTCCTCACTTGCCCTGATAGCTCTCACAGCATGCTCAGCTGATTTTCTGGCGTGGTCGACATGCTCGACTCTTCTCATGTCGTTGTACAATTTCATTGGGAAAGTAGCAACGTCCCCCACGGCGTACACATCAGGGACATCTGTTTCAAACATTCCATCAGTTCGGATCCCATGTTTCTCTTCATCAACTTGGCCTTTGAACAAATCAGTGAGAGGCTTTGCACCGACACCAACAACAACAATTTCAGCTTGCAGCACCCTGCCATCTTTGAGTTTCACTGCCTTTACCTCTCCGTTTGTGTCAGCATCGAACCCTACTGCAGGGGTACCCTTGATAATTTTAACTCCTTTATTGGCGTAGTAACCCTCGTAGAAAGCAGCTATCTCTTTAGTGAAAAGCTGAGGCATGCACCATGGATCCCGAGACACCATGGTGACATCAAATTTGTTGATTCTCATAGCTGCTCCGACTTCAAGACCAATGTATCCTCCTCCAACAATCACTACCTTTCCTTTTTTCTTGGCTCTAATTGTCTCTACAAGTTTATCGGCGTCACTAATTTCCCTCAAGTAGAAAATGTTCTTCGCATCAGCTCCTTGCACGCCGAATTCTGTCAGCCTTAGAACTCTGGAACCAGTTGCAATGATCAAAGTTTCGAATTCAAACATTCCCCCAGTTTCACTAGTGAGGATCTTTGAATGAAGATCCGCTTTGACTATTTCTGTGCTGAGAAGTAACTCAATACCTTTCTCCGCATACCATTCTGGAAGCAGCTTCTCACCTCCACTTCCGACGCAGACATGGAACCCCGGAAGCCTTGCAGCTCCCTCAGGAAGCAGATAGGCCTTACTAAGTGCCGGACGTTCATAAGGTGCCACGGCTTCTTTGGATATGATCGCTAACTCACCAGGTTTGAGCCCTTGCTTGACAAACTCCCTTGCTGCGTATCCAGCTGCAACTCCACCACCAATAATCACGTACTTAAACGATTTCTTAGTGCAAATCTCATTATAGAGACAACCCTTTTTCAGCAACTCCTCAACTTCTCCAATTTTTTCATCAACAAGTTTTGCAAGATGTACACGCGAGATAAATTTCCTTTCACCGAGCTTTTCAATAGTTAGTATTTGAGTTTTGATCCTTTCCGCGTTCTCTAACCACTCATAGACTTCATCTCTTTGTTGTATAACTGGAACAAGAGGCTCGGCATCTAACTTTTCGACTATACATTCAATTTGGCTAATTAGCTCTTCCAACATTCTTCTGAGAGTGTTCATATTAACAACTTGAAAGTTTTGTTGATACTTAATCCATCGCCTAATCAGATACCATATGAACATTATTCGTTCACAAATCCGCGTCAGAAATCCCATAGCTGAATTTTTACTTCCTACACATCACCAGAACAATGCAAGATACTTTTAATCTGAATATACAGTATCTCGATCCATATATTTTCCAACAAGCAATTCGATGAAACTACTGTGGTTAAATATTTCCTACCATATCATATACAGTTGGTAACATCTTCGTCTATTTATATATCAAATTTTAATATCTTTTAGTGAAACTACTGTTAACTTCACCGGCATCAGCCTTTATATTTTCTTATTTTCACATGATTTTTTTCCGGACATTTAACGAGATTTTTGTCGAAATTAGCCTCTTCCTCCCAAGTATGCTAGAAAAGAGGGAGGAACTAGCAGTAGTGTATCTGTTTACTCTGGCTAGCTCTTAGTTGTTTGGCTTCGACGTAAATTAATGTAAAACGGTAATCTGAAATTTGTAACATAAAAGAAACTAGCAGTAGATAATTTTCAGAACAAGATAGTGTACCTGGCTTCACTGACTGCTAAAACACCAAATCTTTCTTCCGCTAAATGCCGCGTCCTCTGTGAAAGGAAACCGAAAACCAGTGACAATTAAAAGTACCTTATGTGTGCAAAGGATTGCCTTGAAAGGCTAAGCCCTTTATAAGAGAACTGAAAACTTAAACGCAGTGAGTTACTGAAGCAAGGTATCTGCTGGCTTTGGTGCGTAGGGAAGCAAAGCACCGGATGAAATGCAGTGTTATAATCTTGGACAAGCACTTTCTGAGGTTAAAGTGCTTTTATAAAATTACTTTCTGATACTAAGCCTTTTCTTGAAACAAGGGCAAGAACAAATATGGTTATAAAAATTGAACCTTGTATTACAAGATGAATTTTTTTTACTGGACAGTAGAGCCTTTCGACACTGCAATATGACGTGAACATCCCCACATAAGTTACATAAGTTTTGTTTCGGATGAACGCATACGTATAGATTGTTATCACTTTTTCATAAAATTACAAGTTTTTTTTTTTTTTTTAATGGAAAAGCATCTGCCATATATTGCATTTTTATAACCCAAAAACACTTACAACTTTTTCTTCAAAAAAATATAGTGAGAAATGTTTATGAAGGTGAATGTCGAAAGAAATGTATTTGAACCCTCCAAAAGTAATTTCAATCAAACCCTTGTATCGTAAATGAGGAGCTATTATGTAGATAAAAAGTTGGACTCTTGACGTGTATTTTGGTGTTTATATAAGCTATTTGCCACAGTTATGAGTCAAAACAGTCCCGCCTTCAATCCAACTCAAAATAGAATGTCCCACAAATGTTAGCTTAAAATCACGAGAATAACTTGTATGAAAGGAGGACGTCAAGGTGACTGTCCCGAACTGACCACATGTGAATGAAAAATTTCAAACACATGACTTTATGTTATCAGTCCGAGTCTCCAAGATACATAAAAAAATATCTAACAAGTTTGAAAATAAATTATGAAAGCAAAATTGAGACGAGGGGAAAGCTTTTTCATTCGGACGTGAGGAGAAAGACCTATTGAAGCATTAACATAAGTTTATTTTCATTATCAAAAATATTGTCAAATGGAACGGCAATGTTTCAAAAAAAGTAGGCGTACGATGAAAAAAAGAGTTTGCGCTTCTCTCTCACGAGAAATTTTTCAATGTGCTTCAAGCACGCTCTGGTATACCAAGTGTAATAACACAATTGGTTGAAAACTTGAAAATGAAATTTCTGACCAATTGTATAATGAAACTTGATGTATCGAGCCAAGTTGTCAGCACACTGAAAAATCTCTCCCCCCTCATCACTTGGCTAGCCCCAAGGCTCGGGTTAAGTAGAGTTTTTAACCGTCTATTGGGGTTAGGAGTTTACGAGAACCGTTAATCAATGATATAGAACCAATTAGCTTCAATTTATGAACGTACTTGACGGACAAGGATTGTCTGCCCTCTCACTTCTAATGCCCTCCTGTTTTGTGTGGTCACGGTTAAATCACGTCAACATTTTATATTTTTTTTATAGAGATAATAAAACAAAAATGAATAGTAATATAAAATGTTAACGTGGCTTAATCGTGACCACATAAATAAGAGGGCACGGAAGGACACCGAAAGTGAAAGGGTAGACAATCCTTGTCCGAACTTGACACTGCCCTCAATTTACAAACAGGGCCACTGGATTTGACAATGCAAAAGGCTGCTTTCTTACTAGTACATTAGCAGCACATATCATCTCGAATGCGCCACATCCAATGGACCACATCTCAAGTCTAGGGCGAGACCCCAAACAAAAGTTACAAAACGGATGCCGAAGCACACAGAGGGAATCATCACACAGAGCAAGCAAACCTATTCACAAAGCTTCAAACAAGGCAAATATTCATGACAGATAACGATCATCGCTCCACTTATATTATCCACTTAGTACCTGACACTTTTCTACTTCTTTGTAGGTGACCCGCGAAAAGCAATTAGATCATCCAAAAATTGCCTGCCCAGTAACTCCTTCATCATAAAGACTCTGATCACGTCTTCTGCTTTCTGATTGGCAACTGAATGAATGTTGGCTGTGTTTGGTGACTTCAAATCCGCACTTGGCTTATCTAGCTGAACTTGCTCGTGTGATTTCCTGTATTCGCTGAGTTCTTTCTCCAATCTGAGTACATCGGCCTGCAATGCCTTCATAACCACTGCTAGCTCATGTACTTTCTTGTATTCACTTAACTCTTTCTTCAATCTGTGTAGATCAGCCTGCGTTGCCTTCACATTCTCTTCTTGTTTATCGGACTCATTTAAGTCACTGATTGATCTCTTAACAATTTTGTAACCTACACATCCAACTGCAAATTAGTCGATAACAACTGCAGGTAGACTAGTCAAGAAACCCGAATCAACATGTTACACCAGAGTTCCGAAGCTTCATGAAACCCAAACTTCCGAAAGTTTGAACAAAAGTTATCTACTTATCTGGGCACAACTCTATAAAGTAAGACAAACAAAATGGATTTGTGAACCGTTACTCGCACCAACTCGCGCATGAAAAATTATCCAAAATAATGAATTATGGCTAATGACCAAGTGGGTGGGGAGGAATGCTACATGACTGCAGTTTAGCGGCGTATCCAAGTGAGCAAACCTAAAACCTCCCCACTTACAAGTGTGGATGAATGTTACATGACTGTAGTGGCACATCCAACGTGTTTAAGACGACATAAACATTGAGTGTGTTCAAAAATCAACAATGTACAGTAACTAGGGCACGAAATCGACAGTGTAGAGTAACTGTTCAGATACTTACCTAAGGCTAAATCGAGATAATCAATTTTCCAAAAAACTATAAAATTTGAAAAGGTCGAGGAAACAAAACCTGGGACGGTTTTGAGGCTCTCCAACGCTGTGTGTTTAGCGATGCTGGAGCTGAACCGGACGATCTTGGCCCGGCCTTCCGCGTCCCCCAAATAATGGTTCAAGCTACCCCTGACGGCGTTGTCGATTTGGGTAACGGCACCCGACCCGTAACCGTAAGCTGTGGAGCACACGTTTTTGACGGCAGTTAGACCCGGAGCGTTCCGTTTCAGCGAATCGGTTGTCCCGGAGATGTAATCGGAAATCCCCATTTTTCTCTGTAGCTCAAAGCTTCAGGCTTTCCTTTTCGTCTTGGTCGCTTTAAGAATTCTTACTTTTGGGGAAGGAAGTTTGGGACTTGGTTTTAAAGCCATTAGTATACTTAGGGTGGGCATAATAACCGCAAAACCGCATCGAACCGTAAGAAAAAAAACCGTGTTGTTCGGAAAAGTCAACTTTGAGTGAAAAACCGAACCGAACCGTTCAAACCGGTTCCGATTCCGGTTTCGAATGACCAAGAACAAGCCGAACCGAACCGAACCGTTTTATTAATAATAAATAAATAAATTATATATACACACACATGTCATGGTATAATAGGTTGAAAAATTGTGTACAGGAGCTGCTGCTTCTTGCTTGCTCTCTGAAGTCTGAAAACCTGCAATTTGCTTCATCATTTTTTTGTTTGTTGACTGATTGACCAGTGCATATGTATTTTAGTTGTCTCTTTTTGTTGACTTGGTGCCACTACCAAAGACATTTGCATTAAAAAAAATGTGTTGTATGCAACTTTAAGTAATCAGTTTTAGAAGATGTATTTGAATGCATAATGATTTGGTGTTCAAATAATTTATTATTAGGAACTGTAAACCGGCAAGAACCGAATCGAAACCGATGTAGACCGAACCGTAAAGTTCTAGTAATAAATTTAAGTGGAACCGCACCGAATCAAACCGTTAATATATTTCGGTTTCGATTCCAATTTAGGAGTGGAATCGCACTGTGCTCACCCCTAAGTATATTTGTGCTCACCCCTAAGTATACTTTGAGATCTGTGACGTTTCATACGAATAATATAAAATTATGAAACGCTATGGTTACAGTATATTCGTCCATGTAAAGAGCTTCGAGTTTAAGCTGCTTTTACAAAAAGCACTTTTTGGCCACTTGCTTTATTCAAAGTAGGGAGGCACTTCTACTTTGATGTACCGAACAAACAAAAATAAAGCATGGTTTAAGATGTGAAGAGATTCGAAAGTACAATTCTTTAGAATCACAAAACAAAACAAAACAAAAAAGAATTTAAATTCTTTCTCATCACCTCCTTGATGAATAGTCTCAATGGATAAAGTAACAAGATGAATATTACGAGAATCACAGAAAAAATGACGATGATGTTACAAAAATCGGGGACGTCAAGAAACGATGTCCAAAGTTCATCGCGCCGATTCTGCTCTCCGAGAATTGCATCCACATGAAACCAAAGATTTCTCCAAGTAATTAACTCCAAAAGAATGGGAAATGGAAATGCCAACCTGATGATATAATCTCCAGTATCACTATCATACACTGCCACCATGTCAAGAGTATTAGCGTGCCAAAAACGTACAATCTTCAGTGTGTGACGGAAAGGACCTGAACTCATGTCTTCTTATAAACACAGATATAATATATTCATGATTTGAGATTCTGCAGTGCAGTTGATTAACAAAATCAGAAGATCAACAGAAACTGCTTTACAAATACTGCATGAGGTTGAGAACAAATATAAAATACAATTGGTATAGCATATACGGACACACTATTAAGCGATCCAAAAAGGCAAGGAAAGTCCTAATACGAGGATGTCTTCTAACTAACATAAGAAGGTGCCCAGACAAAGCACAATGGCAGAACTGGGTGTGCTCCTACCCAAAGTTGGTAGTTTGAATAAGGGTTTTCTGCCTAGAACGAACAGTAAAGTCATGCATATATTTGCCGGAACAACCTAAACATTTTTTTAAAGCAGTCTTTACATCAAACCGCGATTACATTTCTAATTTCATGCAGAGTTTACCCCTATCCCTCATTGGGAAGAACGTGAGGCTCCCTGAAAAAATCTATGAAACGTATGAGATCCAAGTGAATGGTTTAAAACAAAAGGACCTTTTAATACATAAGGAGCTAGTAAAAGTCACGATTTAACAGTGTATACATCATTCTATACACATCAAACACAACAAACAGTTAAACTATTTGTCAACCAGCTTCGAACAGAACACTGCAAATAAGGTAACCCTAGTCATTACATATACTCCACAGCAAAAGTAATTACAATATCTAACTCCACAAGATATAACATTAACTGGACCTGACCACTACCATGAAAGATTGAGTTCACATAGACAGCCCGGCGAAAAGCAACTCCAACTCCTGTTCTTGTGATGCGGTTCTCTGGCATACAATGAAGACAGAAGATATCAAATACTGAAATCAAATTCATTTGTCTTCTAACTCTAACCAGAATCATATAGAAAACACAAGATTCCATATTGCATAGCAAAGCAAACTAGTAATTAACCAAAAAATTAGTCAAGCAAGGGCGCATTTGATAACCATATCGTTTTTAGATTTCATCTTTTGACCCACAAAATCAAAACTAAAAGCCAAAACGACGTTCGAGTTTTGTTTTCATATAATCTCCTTCGTCCTTCTGCATTCCTCATTTCTCCCACATACTTTTCCCTCCATCTCTAATACAAAAAATGAAAACCTAAAACTCCAAATGAAATGGTTATCAAACGGACCCTAAATGAATTTTTCGTGTGGGTGTTGGGTTTAGTTGATTCTCATTGGCCTAAACAATAAACCCATTGGATAGCAGGCTAAAGTTAACAGCTAAATTATGCTATATACAGTGCTGGAAATTCAATGTTTGTGCACCTGAATGGACAAAAGCTGGAGAATTTTGTTGAGAACCCGCAAGCGGTGAGTGACGTAAGTGCTGTTTGCAGGCAACTTCTGCATTCTCTTCATTTCTTCGTGCACGGACGCCTCCTTCTCCCCATGCCCCATTTGCTTCCATCGAGATTTCGGTTGGGCACCGCCGCCATCTTCCATGGTCACATCAAGCGTACTCATGCCCTTTGATGGATCAATTTTCAAGAAAACCCTCGAAATTGATATTCTTTGGAAAGCAAATCTAGGGTATTGGGCGGACACAAAATTGAAATTTCAATTCAAAACCCGCAATTTCTCACTGTTTACCCTGTAGATTAGAAACGTACTTCACTGATTTTCTCGGGAACCAAACAAGATCGCGATTCGGAAAAGATGTAGGACAACGAGATGAAAACGCAAAACCCTAAAACAAAAACGCAATAACAGACTTTTTCGCATTGGGGAAGACAAGGGATTTGATTTTATTCATTGACCAAAACGCGTTGTCGTTTGTTAGTATCAGCAAAACGTCGAATGCTTTAGCAAATTTCGCTTTGGACGATGTTTTTCGCTTTACCGTTTTCTTGTTCTGTACTCATTTTGTTTTCATTTAAGGAAGAGGATCCTCTCTTGAGTTTAGGAAGAGGATTCTTGATCACGAAATTTGGATCGTTAAAAGTTATAATAATTGCAATCGTTAGATTAAAACTGAACGGTCTGGATTTTATGATCAAGAGGATCCCCATCCTATGCTCAGGAGAGGATCCTCTTCCTTCATTTAACATCATCGAAGGAGAGTCAAAGAATTCTTTTTAGCCTTATAGCTGTTCAAAAAATTATATTTTAAGAAACAATGTCAAGTCATATTTCATACTATCTCTAATTGAATTGGCTAAAGGATCATAGACCAAATATAGCTCTATGACAAAAAACCATCTTTAACCGAATAGGCAAAAAGGTCATAGGTCAAATATAATTTATTATTTTAATTGAATTAATATAGTTAATTAAATTAAACTAACATATTAAAATACAATTTTTTAACATATTGGAAGATTATTGAAAGAGGTGGCCATTTGAAAATTATTGAAAAAATTAAAGGAAAGATTATTGGAAGAGAATACAATGTGAAGAATTGAAATAAAATGAGGTAAAATAGTATGGAATTGTAAAAAGTATGTGAGAAATAGTGTAGGAAAAAATTCATCCACCAAAAAAAAATGGCCTGGGCTAAAAAAAATTCGTCCAAAAAACCAAAAAAAAGTGGGCTGGGCACATTGGGCTAGTTGGAGATGGTCAGCCCACTGGCCTAACTTGGTGGTTTTGGCCCAGTGGGGCCCACAAGTCTTTTGGTTTAGCTCTTAGTTAGAGACGTTTTCGTGTTATTTCGAGCTACTTTTAGCCCTATGACTTTTTGGCCGGATCAGTTGGAGATGGCCTAACGGTTTGAAAGTTAATAGTTATGATTTGGATTTAGGCAATTTTTATTTTAGTAATTTACGTTGTTAACTTAGTTTGTGAAGATCGATTTGGGATGTCTCGGCCAAATTTATAATTCAATAATTTTGTTTGTGTTGTGACCTATATTTAATTGACAGGGGAAGGGGTTAGCGACAATGAGAGAGAAAAGAGAGAGATGTGTTTGTAGGATTGTGTAGAGGAATGTCTATTATTCTCCCTACGCAATGCCTTTATTTATAGTAATAAGGGAGAGAAAAAATCCTTCATCCCCAAATAATACAAGTCTATATAGGAAAGAATAACTAGAATACAATCTAATCTAAGATTTACACAACCACACTTAAACTAGAAGTTTACAACACTCCCCCTTGAGTGTGTTACTCAAGTAGATTCGGCATCATGTAGAAGTTGTGGAAGTCGACTCGTTGATATTGATCTGGGAACACACAATTCTCAAATAAGGTAGAAACTTGCATAATGAAGTAAGTCTCACAAATAACCCTATGGCTATAGTAAAAACCCCGAGTAGGGACAATATCCATAGTCTAAGGGAAAAATGCGTGAGTAATGCAAAGTCAAATGAAATGTTTATTGGATGTCATCAGGGATATGATCAACCCAAGGTGGGTGCCTGCGTTAAAACCTAGTAAGGTAGCAAAAACCTAGTGGAAAAAATGCTCCTAATTGTAGGGAAAAAGAGTACATTAAGATCAAGCAAGTATACTTCAGGATACTCCCCCTGAGCTTGATACAACTTCAAAGAGAGCTAGCAATGTTACAACTTAGAAAGTTTACTCATACCAATTCCTTGAACAAGCTTTTGAAACATCATCTTCGGTAGTGATTTGGTGAAGAGGTTAGCCAAATTGTCTTGTGAATGGAATTGCGTTACTTCAATCTTTTAATGCTCTTGTTGTTGATGTGAGAAGAAGAACTTCAGGCGCAATGTGTTTGGTGTTGTGTGAGGACCTGTATTTTCAAAAATAATTATATATAATTATGTGTTGTATATACTTATTATTTCAAAAAGTTTTGTATTACTTCTTATTTAATCGTTAATTCCTTTATTTCATTTTTCTATACTCTAATTTACTATTAATTTGAACCAAATAAGTTCAGTACACCATTACGGTAGTATTTGAACTATAGATTCATATTATTCATTTTCTTTCCTTTTACATTATTTTATTAAGTTGTTTGTTCTATTCTAATTGGGCCAAAACCATAGCCAATTAAAGGGCTTTTACATCATTCCTACCGATAGCTTTTAGGCGGTGTAAGTTTGCTTGGTCTGATCTCACCTTCTCTGTGCTGACTTCCCTCTCCTATAAATAGAATGTTATTGCTTTGGTTTTCTTCGCTGGCTAGATGAAATGTTTTCTATTGGGGTTTACTCTCTTTCAGGTTTAAAGAGTTTTCCTTTTCTAGGTTTTCGTCTTAGTTATTTGCCTCGTATCTCTGTATGTTATTAATAAATTATAAATGTTTGTACCTAAACTAAAAAGGGGCTGATGGGCATCGTTATGCATATATATTTGAATTCGTTCATACTGCTGATTTAGTTTTATAGAAAAGTCTTTCTATTCATGTTGTTCTTTAGTGATAGCCTCTTATGTTCTGTATTTCGCATGTTACATAACAATACCATGTTGATTCCTATTCTTGGAAAGGCATTGAACTTTAGGAGACTTGGATGTTGCTGTATTGCAAAGAGAATAGTCGAAGCATGTATTGCATATATATATATATATGTATGTATATGTATGGATGTATGTCTATTCTTAAATGAATAAGCATGTTGGTAAATGGTTTTATGTATAGTTTAATTTATACATATTACTTGAATGGTTTTGAAGGCAAAAGACTTTTGAATAAGCACACTATACATGTTTGCTATATACGAAACTATTTTGTACAGTATTATAGTCAACCAAATGACTTTTGAATTGAGTAACATGGAACTGATGAGTTTTAAGTGTGTTAATTAGTATTAAATTTCATATAAGGCATTTGGTAATTTTCTTATACTTGTGAATAGGAGCTTATCACAGTTGTGGTTTCTTGTGTTATTATCTCAATGCTTTGAAATCCAGGTAGGGGAAATATGACAGACCTTTACGGATATTGACTTTATTAAATTTGGTGAAGCGTTATAGTATTATTATTGATCTTGTTGGTTGATTAATGTGATATGGTTTGCTAATTGGATATAAATATTGCTTTTGGGTGTTTACTTGTTATTGATTATTGAATTGTTGTTGAAATGTTGTTCGTTGAGAATATACTGTTAGACATGTGAAAGATGAAATGACATTATTTATGCATCATTCATGATGTGTGAGAAGTGGTTGGAATTTCGGTGTTAAGGAAGGAATTCTGAAAATGGGGGTAGTTGGAAATGATCTTTTGTGTACTTGAGCCAAACTCTTAGCAGGTACCAGATCTCAGGTAAGCCCATAGTGCATAGATTCTTTAAGGGTAATTCGGGACTGACGACGAAGAGTTTAGGCAAGATGATTACCAAAAGGGAAATTGGGATGATTGAGTTACAAGGGGTTAATTTGTATATTAAAACATTCGAACCACCACTGTAGAGGTAAAATGCACGGTATGGGACGTGCAGGTCCGCGTGTTTTATTATATGAATTAACGGGTAAAGATGAAGAGTATTGCATTGCACTCATGCATTATTATCAATAATGATTTGATACTTCATTACGTGATTTTGTGACGCGTAATTTAATATTGTCAATTTACTTTAATAAGGTTATGTCCCTATTGAGCTTTGGAAAAGCTTACCCCTCTATTGTTATGCAGGTTTATGAATTAAACGGTCAAAAAGGGTAGACGGGATGAGATCGGATTAAGTGTAAGGATATAATTTGTATTTATTTATTTTAGTCTTGTAAGGAATCATGAATTATTTTTATAAAAGGAATTTCATATTTTCTCACCCAGTTTCACTTTCCTTTTATTTAATTTTATTTTCAGCTCGCACGCCGAATTTGGGTTCGAGATTTTTTTTTCCTATTGACCCCAGGTCCGAGGCATGACATGTTGTCTCCTTTGATATAATCCTTCTTGAGCTATTTCAATGCATGCTACTTTGTCTTCATAAATCGACATCGTGACATTAATGACGAGGTAAAGATCGCATGAGCTTCAAATATGGCCTACAACTGCTCTCAACCAAAAGCATTCTCGAGTTGCTTAATGTAAGGTGAGAATTTCAGCATGGTTAGACAAAATGGCAACTAAGGTCTATTTAGTTGACCTCTAAGAGATTGTGATGCCTCTAATAGTAAAGACATAACCTACTTAAGAACGCGCCTTGTGCGGATCAGATAAGTATCATGTGTCGACATAACCAACAAAGCAAGAATGGACTCAAGATAAGGGGGTGCGGTATTGCTCAAGGATCCTATAGGGATAAAAGAAGCCAAAATCTGAAGTACCCTTAAGGTAACAGAATATGCCTTTAACACCAGTCTAGTGTCTGCGTGTTGATGCATTACTGTATTTTGCCAAAAGATTAATAGCGAAGGAAATGTCAGGCTTAGTGCATTGAGCTAAGTATAATAAAGCGTCTATCGCACTTAGATAAGGAATTTTAGGCTCCAAAATCTCTTAATCATCTTCATTCGGACATAAGGGATCTCGTTTTGCATCTAACGATCAAACGACCATAGGAGTACTCAAAGGCTTTGCTTTATCCTTATTAAAGTGATGCAACATTTTTTGGGTGTAGTTCGATTGATGTACTAAGATTTCATCTGAGCGGTGCTTTATCTTGAGGCCGAGACAATATCGAGTCCTTCTTAGATCTTGCATCTCAAATTCTGACTTTAGGTGCGCGACAGTTCTCGCGAGCTCTTCAGGAGTTCCGATGAGATTCATGTCATCGACATATACTGCAACAATCGCAAAGTGAGAATGTGACTTCTTGATGAACACACAAAGGCATAGTTCGTTGTTCACATCCCTAACTAGTCAAATACTTGCTCAGACGGTTATACCACATTCTTCCAGATTGCTTCAAATTGTAGAGTGAACG